CAAGTCCGTGACTTCCAAGCTACATCATTTCCAGCTTCCATGCAGCTTCCAATAGGGCATCACTTCCCACAAGTCTACGACTTCCAGAAGCTTCAACCAGCTTCCATCTACGAAGGGCTTCCAGCCCCATCAAGTGTCAATGCAGCCGAACTTCCCAGTCTGAGCCGCAGGTACCACACCAAGTGACGGTATCATCCGACACCAATCTTCCAGGAGTGGCATCACTCCCAGCAGAAGTGCCAGCCACAACGACTTTTCCGACGATGACATTCATTGCATGTATTGTTCATTGCATGTATTGTCTCGTCTCCACAGCTCAGCTTCTCGTCACCATGCGGGATGCCGAGCAACTACTCCAAAGACAGGTGCTTTGGACTCATTGCAAGCCAGTCGACACAACGACGCGAGACAGGATTGCAAGCCTTCCCAAGGCAGGAGCCTGCTTACCCAAGCACAGATAGACATTTTGAGTGCTATCGATTCTCAGGAATCTTAGAGGAACCACCTCTAGCTCCATAGCAACCCCAAGGTGCATCCAATGTCCAAACCAACCAAGCAAGCTTTGGCTACAACAAGTACAAGTCCTGCCACAGCTGGCTCACAGGAGTGTGCCAACAGTGACAGCAGGAGTGGTATTGATAAAGTTGTACCCACCAAAACCAAAGTCTCAAACCTTTTTCAACCTTCCTTTGAATTCTCCGATCGATCTATCCAGATTGACATACCAGATCGACTGACAAGAAACGATCATGCCAGATCAAATGACACAAAGCGATCGAATCACAAGCAGCGACCACGAGATCGATTCAGTTTGACTCTCGGGATCGACTCAAAAGATCCATCATGAGATTGCAACTGTGACCACAGAAGCCTATCGAGGCAGAGCAAGCTTACTCAAGCAAGGGTACACACACCAGTGCTACCGGGATATCTTCTGCAGAGGATTCCCACAGTTCCACAGGAACAGTTCCACCATGGAACCAGCTCAAAGCAAGCAACAGTTCGACGGAACGCCACAAGTTGCCAGCACCCATCTACAAGAGGTGCAAACCAAGGTCCACATCAAGCAAGCACACATTCATGTACAACAAGTCACAGCCATTCAATTCCAAAGAAGAGGAGGCCGTGATGAAGGAAGAAGCTTCCCCAGCTGGGAAGAAGAGGATTCCATTCCTCTGGAAAAGACAACAGCAGGACATCCAACAAGAAGAGACAGCTCACGTTCCATTCCAATGGACAACAAGCTGACTCCAGATAGCTACCAAGCTATTGCACAGACTCATGCTCACCTGATTTCCAAATCCAGTATCAAGCCTGAATGGATTGATGTTTCCACACATCATTGGCGATTGAGACCATGGCATATCGATGTCTAGTTCAGTCTACACCGCCAGTCAAGAGCACAGTTTGAGTCTATGAGAATGCAGCCGGAACTTCCTAGTTTCCAGCTACAGCAATACCAAGTGACCGGAACTTCCCAGTCCACAGTTCAACAAGTGATCGGAACTTCCCAGTTTCGAATACAGCAACATCAAGTGACGGCACCAACTGCCACAGCAAGTCATACAGGAGTGGCAACACTCACAGGAGTGGTAGCCACAGTGGCTTTTCCTGACGACACTGTCCACATGTCCACATTGACTGTGACAGATTTGTCAGCACTGCTATGGATGACAAGTTTCTCGCCACCAAGCGGAATGCCGAGCAACCTAGCAAGTGGTCTCTTGACCAACAACTGTTCCTTATGGAGCAACCATCATTACAGTAATTATTCGTTCCACGGTATCCTTTATGGAACCGTGCAGGAGTGTGTTGGAGGTTGTATTACAGACACCTCAATACAAATTATTCGTTTACCCCAATCTAGTTTAGAGGAGATATCTATATCAATTCTCTAGTTACATACATGGGGAGTTTAACTGATCTATATGGTCACCCCCTTCACTATATCCTTTGAAGTTGAATCAATCCCAGAAAACATGGAGAAAGATCACTTCTTGGAAATAGCTTAACAGTAAAACAGTATTTTATCTTTACTAAGCTAGAGTGTTACTAGCAACCAACAGGCTCAGCAGAATGTTTAGAATAGAGCTGGGGATGGGCTGCCCAGGTCAAACACATAAAGATGTCGCTGAATGGGAAAGTTGCTTGGTAGTTTGCTAATGCCGAATGGAGTCAAGTGTAAGGAGCTCTGGGAGAAGCAACTGCTAGTTACAATTATTTAACAAACACTGCTACCTGCCGGTACTAATCATTGTATTACCTGTAATCATAAACTATGAGTTGTATTGACAGTTGGTGCTTAGTAGGCAAAAGGTTGTATTTGAGGGTTGCCGATGCTACTACCTGGTAGCAATGCAATTTACAATAGCACTAGATACTCTCAAAGATTTGGCTATCCCCGGCAAAATAGTTTCAATGACTAATGCATATAATATGCATACCCTAATACAAAACTCTCTTACTTAGGAATAAAAGGGGGGACTGAGAGTCAAAAAGAGAAAGAGGCCTCCTCTGCTCTGCTCGAGTCAGACAGGACGTTCCCATCCTCGCTCTTTGAGGGCCGATCGCTTGTTCTTGTGAAGCTTGGCTGTTGCGTTTTCAGCTCATTGGATGATGTCAGAGTTGAAGCCTCCAATTTGCTAATTTTTTGTGTTCTTTGGTGATGGGTGACGTTATTGTATCCGTCTCTGCTATGGCTCTCACTCTCTGCTACGGCTCTAGCGCTCTCTGGTGCAATGTTTTCGTAGCTTTCTAATCTCTCATAACTTTCATTCTCTCAAACTCAAAACGCTCGAAAGATCTTTACACTAGCTTGCTTTTAGCGTAGTGCAAATGATTTGGGTAAGTCGTCAAAGATAGGAGAGGTAGCTGCCTGCCAAAGATTGATGAAAAGGTAACAAAAAATAAAATTTCTTTGAGAAACGAGCGTCTATATTCTGTCTGATATATGCTTGATCAGATGAACTAAAACAACACCAGAACAAAAAGAAACTGTGAGCATGATGAACTAAAAAACTACAAATCTAACTAAGTCCATTGCCGCACATGTTTAGTTGCCAAAGACTTGAATGTTGCTTCAACACACAGAGCAAAAATTGCTTCGAGAGAGGATCGAGCTCCTGGCCTTCCGCTGCCTGAGACGTAATCAGATGAGAGTATGATGAACTAAAAAAACTCCAGTTCTAACTAAGTCCATCACCGCACATGATTATTAGTTGCCAAAGACTTGAATGTTGCTTCAACACAAAAGGCAAAAATGTGCTTCGAGAGAGGATCGAACTCCCGGCCTTACGCTGACTGAGGCATATTGATCAGGTGATATGATCGTTTGGATTATGAGACGTACGCTCTGCCTACTGAGCTATCGAAGCTGCTGACATTGGTTCTATTTTCATGGCTTACAATCAATGTTTGTTTTTGCAGCGCCTCTCTTATCTTTCCGAAATCACAGCAGAAATGAGAAGACCATCACTCGACCGCGGGGATCCTTGTCGACCAACGCAGCCTGACACCACATTTTTCCCACTTTGATCATTCCGGATCCAACCATTGCACTTCTTGTGCATAAGGCACTCATACATAGATAGAAGTGGTCAATCAAGGGAACAATGGTAAGAAAGAGATGCTACCATGAGTGGGATGTATTCTTCCGTTACTAGAAGATGCAACTTGATAGTGTACCCAGTAGTGTATGCAGGCTGAGGGTATCCTTTTTTCCCCTTTTTTTTTCTCCAGGCCACCCTCACCGAGGTTCAAGAACGGCGCATCTTTTTGCATGCCAAACTCCAAAAGACTAAGGAAAAAATCTTCCTCAAGCATGTCGAGTCTGAACCACTAATCAGCAGCGATGGTGGCATTATTCCTTCAGCATCATCCAGTGAGGAAATCCCCAGCTACCCCAAATCCGATGAAGATACCCAATTCCTGACCAAGGTGCTGAAAGGAAATTTTGTCTTTGCGGATCTTTCCGAGGAAGAAATGACCCGCATGGTGGATGCCTTTCGGCAAGAGAAAGTGGCAGCGGATACCATTATCATTCAACAAGGTGACACGAAATGCGAGCATTTCTTCGTCTTGCAGTCCGGGGTGGTCAAATTCATGGTGGACGGCAAGGAAGTGTTCCGGAATGATGAAGGGGGAGCTGCCTTTGGAGAATTGGAATTGCTGTATGACTTTCCCAGATCCGCCACCTGTCAGGCAGTGCAAGATTCGGTGCTTTGGAAGGTAGACCAGCAAACCTTTCGACGTATTCTGAGACATTACTCCAAAGAGCAGGAACAGTCTGCGACCGATCTGAGGCTCAAGGCACCTCAGTTATTTGGACAGGTGGAAGATTCTGATATTCTCAAGCAGCTAGCCGACTCCTTGACATCGGTCAAATTTCAACAAGGCGACAAAATCATTGGCAAGGGTGATATGGGGGAAGTCTTTTACATTATCGAAGAAGGAACCGTCACTGTCACCGAAATTGGCACCGGGACTAGTCCCATGATGGACCAGACTCTTTCGGAGGGCGATTGGTTTGGTGAGATGGAGCTCAAGTCGGGAGAACCAAGAATAGCCAATATCACTGCCGCTACGGAACGTGTCGTAACATTGGCCATGAGCAAAGACGATTTCTTGACATCGGTAGCAGGACCCTTGTTGGAGCCCATTTTGGACCGAGAATCTCGCAAACGCTTCTTGAAGGCGTTGCCCATCTTTGCCAATTCCAATTCTGCGTTTACGGATACCGAGTTGTACCTATTGGTGGACAGATTGCAAGAAAAATCCTTTGAGGCTGGCGACGTTGCTGTGGACGGTAGCAGCAAGGAACAACAAAGATCGTTGTGGATTATTCGAGAAGGTAACGTCAGTCTATTTGATGGGCACACAACACATCATTTGCAACGAGGAGACTACTTTGGTACGTACCGTACGGTAGAATACAAATCAATTCACCGCGAGCAAAGCCAAATCCAGGATGTTGTGACACAATGGCTTTCTCTTACCGTCTGGAGATGATCAATCTGCATTGCAAGGTGACAAATGGATCAATGAAGCATCACGTAGGGCTGACCACACACCCATCAGTGCCACGATGGCCAAGGCCACTTGCGTAGAAGACACGACTTTCTTTGTATTGGAGAGTGATGACGTTGCAGAAGTCATTGGCGAGGTTGTGCGTTTGGGGGCTGCCATGCCTTATCAGTACCCAGGTTTGGACAATTCTATACAGCTGGAAGATATCCAGAAGCACCGAATTCTGGGCAAAGGTAATTGAATTGGAGCTACTGGTAAACGCGGTTTGGATGCATTTTAATGCCGCAGCTGTGACTAACAACACATCTATCTTTCAATGTCTCTTTATTCGCTTTGTACACCACATACATTTTCAGGAGAGTTTGCGGTGGTGTATCTGGCCAGCGACAAAAAGACGAAGAAAACCTACGCGTTGAAAACTTTGAGCAAAGTGCACCTACTGGAACACACCACAAATGCTATCGAGTCGACGAAGCACGAGAAAGAGATTATGGCGTCGGTTCACCATCCATTCATCATGGGAATGCATGCATCCTTCCAGGACAAACACTACGTGTACTTGCTACTTCCTCTTTTCCAGGGAGGAGAACTCTTTGGGCTCATCTATAAGGAAGAAGGATCGCGGTATGGGTTGAGAGATGACGATGCGATCTTTTACAGCGCATGCATCGTTGAGGCGCTCGGTCACTTGCACTCTCGTTCTATCATTCACCGCGATCTCAAACCGGATAATGGTGAGTAGTTTGACCTTTGTGACGTTTTGGTGGTCTTGTCCTTTTGGTTTCATTGATTCTCGTGCGTTTTGTTCCTCTCTGACGGTCGTAAGTGATGATTGATTCTGAGGGATATGCAGTGCTGATCGACATGGGTTTGGCAAAGTTTGTCGTCGGTAAGACTTACTCCATGGTTGGCACGCCCTCGTACATTGCCAGTGAGGTGTTGCTGGGCCGAGGCCATAACAAAGCCGTAGACTACTGGGCACTTGGAGTAGTCCTTTACGAGATGTTGGAGGGGACGACGCCGTTCTACTGGGATGGCGCTACACAAAAGGATGAATTCGAGGCGATCCTGCGCTGCGATTATAAATGTCCAGACTCCTTTTCGGAACACGCCAAGGATTTGATTGACAAGCTCTTAGTGCTGGATCCAACAAAGCGATTGGGAAGCAGTACAAGGGGACACTTGGAGATTATGGCTCAGCCCTGGTTCAATACAATCAACTTCCGGAAGCTACGAAAGAAGCTGATTTCTTCACCGTGGACACCACCCATCAAGGATTCCATGGATGTTTCAAATTTCGCTGATTATGACGACAGCGAAACTCAGCCTCCTGATCGGGAACTAACGGAGGAGGAACAATTGATGTTCAGAGGATTCTAGCTACGCAAGTGTAGTGTGAGTACATGTTTCCCTGAAAGGATGCTTCGATCCACTCGCCGTCGTGGATTTGTTTCATTGCTTGCTTGCTCATGAAGGGCTCTGAAGCCATGTTCGATTTTTAAGACATTGGCCCACCCACGGCTTGGTGTACCGGTATGTAGGTGACCAGACGTAACGATTTAGCCAAACCCGATTTTTTCTGATGCTATTCCAATGGTTTTGCAACGTTCCTTTCGGTTTAGGTGACATGGACGGCGGCGCGGTACAGGACGAAAATGCCTTGCCCTCTCACAACACCAACTCCGGCGGCTACCGGTAGCACGAACGAAGGAACGCACCGTCGTCGAAGTCACTCGTAACCGGTACCTCTGTCTTCTAAACCTAATGTGTAAATGCAAAATGGCACTTGAAGAAGTACCGGTAACAGAATCAGATACAACTTGTATTGTGTGATTTATAGTACGTATTCTTTATGTAATAAACCAAATTGATGTAATTGATGTATTCGAGAAGATGATGTGAGGAGAGGAGAGCGTAGCTAGCTAGCCAAAATGTACAGATTCGATTCGTTTTCATTCATATGTCCAAATGACACCTGGATCGCGAGAGGTGTGATGCAGCAGGCAGGATGCTTGTGAGGAGCTTTTGCGTCTCTTAAGCGCAAGGAGCCGTTGTGGGTCTACTTGTGACCAACACATTGAGGATGACATTGTCCAACTTGACCGCATGGGCAAGCCCCGGAGAGACACACTCTTCCAAGTCAGTGTCTGACACGAAGCCTTGTACTGTCTTGAGGTTCTCGATGGCCATGTCGTAGTCACCAAGCATGTAGTGGAGTTGGGCCAGATTGTTCCAAATGGCAATTGCCATGATGTTCAGGTCGTCGACCGATCCTTCGATCTCAGCACTGAGCCTGAGGCACTGTTCGTACAAGCGTCCAGCGGAAACAAAGTTTCTCTCTGTTCCAGTCAACATGCCTCTCTGGTGCAAGGTCAAAGCCATGTTGAACATCACACAGTGGCAGCAAATGGCCACCGCGGCGCTGTCGATGACATCTTCGTCGAGAAAGTGGAACAGAAGTGCGTTGTTGCACACGTAGAAGTCACCTCCCTGGCTGGTTTCATTCAAACCAGGCACGACGGCAGAAGACACAATGCTCCTGTACCACCCTTCTTCCTTGATCACAGGTGCTTGTTGGATGCACGAGTCTGTCGCTTGAGAGAGGACTTGAAGAGCTTGCTTCAGCTTGTAGTGGGCGGCCATGGCGTCTCCAAGAGTCAAAGCATGGGAACCTTCGGCGTTGAGAAGGGCGGCTTGGTTGACAAGAAGTTTAGAGTCCATCGTCGTTTTTGAGGTTTGGTTGGTTGTTTCTTTGAAATGTTTTTCGCTGAGAGGATTGGAATTTTGTGAGAGAGATTGCTTGTCTTGGAAGGGCAAATTTTTTGACCCAGTCGCCAGAAGCCAGAATGGACAACACTGTTCGTAGATTCTTCGCAGAACACGGCCTTATTATTTTATTATTAATAGCAAATGCGAAAAGCGAGATCTAGTGTGCTGAATAGGGCCATACCTGGCACGGTACCGCATCGCACTCAATGGTAGAGGTATGTTAGCTACGGCTGTACGGTACTACTAGCTAGCTAGATTGCAGTACGATGCTTGACGCATAAAAGTGCCTACCGAACCGACCAGTTCTCAGCACAAGAACCCTGGTACGAAGCCTCAGAATAGACACCGAATCGTTTGCTTTAAACCCAACATTCACCAGAGCCACAAGCACAACAGCTGGCACAATTAATTATTCCGTGGTCTTGGCGTCTTGGTACAGAAGTACACTCACTGTGTACCAGGTACTGAGTAGCTAGCCAGTAGCTAGTGCTACTTGTAAGAAGAATTGTTGTCGCTTGCTGGATTTCGCTTGACTACTATGTCATACGTTCAGTAGTTAGAATGTGTACAAGATGAGTAGACTGGACGTTGTGCGGTCTGCAAGAGGGCATATTATTGCAAAAGGGGGTGGTCTAGCTAGTGGTTTGTGCGGGTAGAAACTTAGTCAAAACCGGATTTGCAAGCTGTTTACTTTGAGTAGTCTAGACTCTATTATTTGTTTGTTTGTTTGAAACACTCTACTAGCTATGCATGGGTGCATAGCTACTATTAATGGCTCTGGACTACTACTAGCTAGTATTAATTAAATAGTATCCTCGTATCCTCCCTAGGCCGGTTTGAAGGTCGGAAAAAAAGGGCTATTAGCCCATAATGCACTATTTCTTACGTCGGAGACTATCATGTTCTGGTTCTTTTCTTGACCTTTGTTTGCTGTAGATTGGGCTCGGCCCATAGAGAGATAATCCGGTGTGCCCGGCTAAACCTGCAGATAAACTCTTGGAATCTAGCTAGCTCTCTTGGACTTCTTCTTTTGAAGCTCAGGGGCATGCAGCCCAAAGTTCAACCGAAAACCCAGCTAGCTAGGGTACCAGTAGAGCTCACCAAGGTGATGGTTCAACTGAATGTACAGTGTGACCGATTTGGCCATCCAAACAAAGATTGGAGAAACTTTTCGATATCATCTTCTAAAGAGTTAAGAGTGACGACTCGTGCTTTAGGCGACTGAATGAAAGGCTGATGTTGAAGGGTTGCTTTTGGCTTCTCAGGTGGGCTCGCCAGCGAAGAAGCTTCGTTTCTTTTGCGAAAATTGCCAATCCAAGCTGTTTTGTGCCACAGTGACACACACCGGTTTCAGCCCCTGTACACTCGCAATACTACTAGTATACAAAATTAATACAGAAATCAGTGCAAAAAATGGTCATTTCTTGTTTCCAGGTGGTTACTAGAGCTAGCTAGGAACCAGAAGAAGCAGAAGAGAAGGATCACGTCAAGCAGTCCAAAGGAAGCACGAGAATCAAGCTGTCTGCAAGGAAAGCGCATAGGCGTGACATAAAAAGCGAGATGCTTGGTTGCTGCGTTCTGCGCCGTACATAATTAATTGTCGCCACATCAACGCTTCGATAATACCAGTGAGGCTTCTCGCTCTAGAAATGTTGTAGCAATCTCAGGCTTAATCCATTTCAGATTTCAGAGTAGAAGTGTAGAAGTCAAACCAATTTGCCAAGCTGCAACGTCATCGTCACTGTACGTATTGGCATTGTCCGGTACGGTACCGAGCACACTGAGGGCAGAATTTGCAGTGGTTGCACTCGTACCGGTACCGGTACTCCACGACCTCAGCAACCGACGCCACACTGCAAACAGCGAAAACCAGGAGAGGAAGTGAACAGCCAACATACCGGTCCACCGCAGCGTGCCTTTTTGTGCCTGACAGTGAGAAGAAAACTACTTTCGGCTTGCCTTCGTTCAGCCATCGCTCAAGACAGCAAAGCAGAAAGACCACTTCTTGGTCCAATCCTTGCTACAGCCGTACGGTGGCCAAATCTGAAAAGGGGTGGGTTACTGAAAGGAAGCAAGGGAAATGATTCGATTCGATCCGATTCTGGAATGTTTTTTCGTCAATTTTAAAGCGCGAGAGGCTTGCTCGCAGGAAAAGGCTGGGATGGCATGCCGTAAGGGGCTGTCACTCGACTCGACTCGACTCGACTCGAGACTCTCACTCGACTCGACCCAGCCGACTTGGCTGCCACCCCGATGCCGCCAATTGCACATCCATTGGGTCCAGCTTACCATCATCAGTCATTGCCCAAACGGCGCCTTAGGAGATCAGACAAACAGAGTGAAGAAGCACCATCGGTCAAGATGGCTCCTTACAGAGGCAGGCTGCCTGACACTGAAGCACTGGCAGCAACAGCCAGGTACCTGTGCTGGTAGGGTTTCTTGAAGAATCGAATCGCGAAGAAATCGTTGCACCAAAATGGAATAAGACATCGTTGCTTGAGCGTCGTTCAGTACCTGTAGCTCTCTCTTGTACGCAATGGTATCAAACTCTAGTTAGAAACGCACTTTCCAATCCCACAAGAGGAGTGGGTTCATTAGCCCTTGCTACCGTAGCTGACCATGCCCTGCAGTTGTCCATGCCGTCCTTTGCTTCTGTCATGAAACGTTCAAACACTTGATCTTCATCGACTGACAGATGCCTTTGAAGTCTTTCAAGTTATTCTAGTAAGTGCGGACATTATTGCGATTTGATATTGAAATCAGCTGGTGTTCGTCTAAAGGGTACTGTTGCGTTTTCTACGGTGCATGTAACAGAGAGCAGTACGGTTGCATTGGAACGTTTCCAATTGAGTAACTCGTCTTCCATCAACTTGCCTACGCTACTCGGAAAGAAATGGGATAGGTACAAACTGGCACAAACTTCGAATTACCCTGACGAACAGCTGGGTTACAGCCAGAATAAAGACTAACACCATTGAATCTCAAGATGAATCTCAAGATGGACTCTGGACTATGAGAGCAAGTAGTCCGCGTTCTTGTAGCTGTCTTGATGGTATTACATGTAGTAGCTTCAATACTCTCTTGCCAGCGTATATACTTTTAAAGTTGCTCATCGCTTATTGTTGCTGTTGGAAGATCCCAGAGGCCCACTTTTGAAGGCCATCAAGATCAAACGTATTTGCATTGGTATTGCTACTGCTGTTGGCGCTGGAGGTGGAGATCCCCGCCTCCTCCAAGGCTGTTGGCAACCACCGATCAATGACTCCCTCTGATCCATACCACCTATCTGTAGGAATAGTTGTTCCCGCTTCATTAATGGAATGGAGGACACCGTCCAGTTTGAGTTGCTTTGCTCCTTCCAGCGCAGTCCATTCCAATGGCACAACACCATCTCCAGTCACGTCGCCCGTTCCACAAACTGCGTCGTACGATGTAAAAGCCACTCTAGCGGCAGATCCTTCTCCTCGTGTGGCGTAGAGGGAATCGGCTTGACTCTCGGGCTCAATCTCTTTTGAGTTGTCTCCCACAATGGCATCTCCACCCACCGACACATAGCCAATGCCCTTCAAAAAGGCTCCGGGATATGCCTGATCCGTGTAGGCGAGAGCTCCCCGCGTGACACAGGATCCGACATCCACGGGTGGTTTGTGAATTGCTCCCACAGTGACCAAGCCACAAATTCGATCGGCCGTCTTGGTTTCCGTGTCGGGATCCCACACACCACCCCCCATTCCAGCTCGTGCCAACCATCCACCGGCTGAATGACCAATTACCAGAACGCGGGATGCTTCATTATTATTGTTATTGTTTACAGCCAATGATGATTCGTATGCCTTGTCGACCGTCTCTTGAAACCGCTTCAAATACCAACCGTAGCCATTTCCGGTTGGCAAGGCTTGGTTGGCATAGAATTTCCAATCCAATAGACCACCGGCCACTCGGATCCAATCACTGCGTTGCACGGGAATCGTAAAGATCAAATCCGGGTCAAAACCACGACGCTCCAAGGCAGCGATGAGACCCACTTGCCGCGGTTGTTGTAATGGCTCGTAGTAGTCAATCTGATCATTGCCAAAGCCTGGGCAAATCACAACAGGAGTCGTTTGAATGGACTGCTGCTGCTGGGGTTGCAGCAGTGCAAACGCGCCAAAAGCGTGCAGTTGTAGCAGCCACAGGACAGCGATCAAGCGCGTCATTGTTGGAGAGGTGTTGATTGTTGTCTTTCTTACCATCTTCACCCTTACAAAAGAACTGAGTGCTTCTACCGACTCTTCTACTTCAGTCCTTCTCCTGTTGTTACCGTACGGTACATGTAGTAGCGTGGCGTCCGTCATTCTCTGTCTGGCGCCTCCGTCATCTTCTGTTGCTCCTTGGTTTTGGAGCAGCAAACCAATGCACTGAGTCAGACTCTTGTATCCTTATCCCTACCGGTACCTTCGTTCCACGGAACGGACAGCTCGTCGGCGAGGTTGTCACCCGGTGACGGCACCAGGTACCTGGTACCAGTATGCATGCAGCCAGTGGTGGTGCCGGTGCCGGTACTGGTACCTGGTATCCAGTTCCTGAGCAAACGAATTGCATTGAAGCTGGGCCAAAACTATACCAGTAATGGTACCGGTAGCCAAGAATGTCAGAACTGGAAAGCTGGACGGTAGACCGAGGGGAAGTCTTGGAGGATACTAGTACCGGTAGAGTGCAGAAGAAGCTCTGGCTAGCTAGTCTCGCGAGCCGCGGTCTGGCTCTAGCTAGCTATTACGGTAGCTACTGCAGCCAGCAAGCAAACCAATGGAATCACTCAGATGCAAGAAACTCTTCTGTCCCTCTGACAAGCCTACGGTACAGGAGCAACCGAAACAGCGAAGCATGACGTCCACCATCCCACCCGCCTCCTCGGCCATTTCGAGGTGGTCTAGCTACCGGTATCATAGCTAGTAGTAGAACGCACTGATCTCCAACGGATCTGCTGTGTTTTGGCTGACTCAGAAATCTAAGACTCACCAGGTTCGCGGATCCACGATACTTTGATCTTTTCAGAATAGAACATTCGAGAACATCCAAGTGGGTCATTGGGTGAATACACGATCCGACCGTCATCAACAGATTTGGAATTTATCCACTGATTTAGAAACTGGTAATAAATTTGTCGATATGTTTGGATAAAACTATTGCTAAAATGCCACTTTGCTATGGATTTGGAAAAACGTGGTACTTGCCAGTTCTATCCAACTTCTATCCATGTTTCACATAGGAATCTCGTGGAGTTTTCATCCACATGTTTTTGATTTTTATCGCATAATTCAAAACCCATTGATAAATTTATCAAAAGGCTTAGACAAAAACGTATATAAAAATAGATTTTGCTGCACAATAGTTTATCCACAGTTTTTATTTACCTGGATTTAAGAAACCGTGTTTTGCCAACCTTTCCATCCCACCCATTCTGACGCACAGCCGTAGAAAGCAGTATGGACGCTACGGTCCAAATCCAAAAGCCGATAAAAGCCAACGAATTCTCGTCCATCCAGCTTTCAGCCCCTGGTTAGCGAATCTGTGCTCATTTTTGTTTCTTGCCCACAAGTACCTCTACATGATCAAGTACCTGGTAACACCAGAGATAAATACAGATCAGACATATTTTTAGGAGAGAAGCAACATGAATGGAACCAACGGAGCTACCAAGAAGAAGGTAGCCGTTGTTGGCAGTGGTGTGGCTGGTTTGGCGGCATCTTGGCATGTTGCTGTTAATAACCAAGATGGGCATCAAGTGCAGCTTTTTGAGGCGGAAGATCGCTTGGGTGGTCATGCCTACACCATCAACGTTGCCGGAGTGGATGTGGATATTGGATTCATGGTGTTTAACAACGATAACTACCCCAACATGGTCCGTTGGTTTGAAGCTTTGGAGGTGCAGCAAGAAGAGAGTGATATGAGCTTGAGCGTCAGTTTGGACCACGGAAAGACGGTGGAGTGGTCCTCGGATGGAGTGAATGGACTCTTGGCGAAGCGATCTCAAGCTGTCAGTCCAGAGTTCTATTCCTTTGTCAAAGACATGATCAGGTTCAATGAAGAAGCTCGCAAATTGTTGCAGCTACCCACGGACGATCCTCGCCGTGGTGTTACCATTGGTCAATATCTCCGAGATCACAACTACACAGAAGCTTTCTGCTCCTATTATTTGTTTCCAATGGTTGCAGCTATCTGGTCCTCGAGCATTGAAGATGTACTGAAATTTCCAGCTGAACCTTTGATTAGTTTCTTCTGCAATCACAAAATGCTGCAAACTTTTGACAGACCACAGGTAAGAAATTGGAAATCTTAGCGGCGCAACTAACTGATCTTATCGTTGGTGGCTGACTCATGCTGATAAAATTTTTGCCCTTTGCAGTGGAACACAGTATCCGGGCGATCAAAATCTTACACTCTCAAGTTGAAGGAGTTGCTAGGAGACAAAGCCAAGGTATCGACGCCCATTCTTTCTGCCAAGAAGCAATCTGACGGAAAGTTTGAGCTTTTCACTACTGGAGATGCCTCTGTGGGAATCTTCGATGAAGTTATCTTTGCCTGCCATCCACCCACAGCTGCCAAGATTCTTGAAGGCAACCAAGATGATACCGTTGTAACGGGGCAGCTTGTCGATTCCCTGTCGAAGATTGAATACGCCGACAATGCCGTGTACATCCATTCTGATCCCAAACTCATGCCGAAGCGTCGCAGGGCGTGGGCTTCTTGGAATTGCATCGGAGACTCGGATCTTCTCTCTGTGCACAAAATGAAGGCACCCAAGGAAGCAGAAGCTATGGAAGGAGGTGGATCTGGGTTTGGCAACAAGATGGAAAAGCCAACTCAGAATGGATTTAGCAATGGTCATCATCAAAACGGTCACAGCAATGGACACAGCAATGGACACCATACGAATGGGCATACTGCGAATGGACACCATGCAAATGGGCACAGTCAACCCCAACTGGAAGGCAAGGATGGGCGAATGAAGGCTGTTTATGTCACCTACTGGTTGAATCGACTTCAGAACTTGGAGACCGATAAAGAAATCTTTGTATCCTTGAATCCCCATGAAAAGCCAGATCCCGCCCTTACATACAGGAAAGAGATTCTGGCTCACCCACAATTCAACGCCGAAACTATGGTAGCACGGCAAACTATCAACGAAAAGTACCAGGGAAGAAATGGACTGTGGTTCTGTGGTGCTTGGGCAGGTCATGGGTTTCATGAGGATGGATGCAGATCTGGTTTTGACGTTGCGACGAGGTTGACAAAGACACCACTGCCGTGGTGTACAAGCAACGAAGACAAGGCTGTCATGGTGATCCCGGAGCCCGACCTTTCTAAGGCTACGAAGATGTCGGGCATCACAGCTGCCGTCTCCAGGGCCTACCAAACTCTTACGTACGACATCCCTGTTTGGGTTTGCCGGAAGTTCATTGTGTCTTTTCTACGACGAGCAATCAAGAAAGGAAGACTCAATTTGAAGCTCAACGATGGCTCCATCGAATCGTTCGGGGATGGGTCAGCATGCCGTTTCGAAAAGCATCCCATCACCGTCAGAGTTTTCGACCCATGGTTCTTCGTGAAGGTTGCTTAGAATATGATCTGGGGTTGGCCCGTTCCTACATGGCAGGGCACTTTGTTGTCGAGCCGCCCTCGGATCCAGAAATGTACGATCCAGCGATTTACACCAAGGGCGACCGCAACGAAACAACACGGGCCATCGGAGACCCTCTTGGATTGCTCCGGTTCTTTCTTCTGGTTATCGCGAACAGAGACAGCGCAGGAGCAACACATATCCCGAGAAAGTCGCTCAAGGGACAAAGCTATGCAGATGCCATCTCCAACGCCTCGGGACTGATCATTTCCCGTGTTGGCTCACTTTTCAACTACCTTCGCTACAAGATCGTGATGGATAACTCAGAGCGTGGTGGCAGCCTGAAGAACATCCATGCGCATTACGATCTCTCAAACGATCTGTTCACAACCTTTCTTGACAAAGAGACTCTGATGTACTCCAGCGCAATCTACGATGCCGTCAAGGCCCCTGCGGGACGACCTGGCTTGGTGTTCAGAGACAGCCTTGAGCAGGCGCAATGGAGGAAACTTGACACGCTCCTAGCTCGAGCTCAAATCGAACGAGGCCAAACAGTCCTCGACATTGGTTTCGGCTGGGGAGGTTTGTCTATCCATGCCGCGAAAAAGTACGGTTGTAATGTCACCGGGATCACTCTCTCTGTCGAACAAAAGGCTCTGGCGGAGGAGCGCGTGAAGAAAGAAGGTCTTGGTCACCTCATTTCATTCGAAGTCGTCGACTACCGCGTGTTCGCTAGGAGAAAGGAGAACCAGGGGCGATTCGATCGAATCCTCTGCTGCGAAATGATCGAAGCCGTGGGTCACGATGTAAGTTTGCTGTCCCTATCCGGCTCTGTATTGCTTTTTAAAGACACTGTGTTGCTCACCGATCGTGCTCTCTCTCTCTCTGCGAAATCTCTATCAGCACCTTCCCGAATACTTCTGGGCAGTCGAGCAACTTCTGAACCGCGACGGAATCCTCGTAATGGAGGCAATTACTACTCCCGAAGAACGATATGAAACCTACCGGCATTCTACAGACTTCATCAACACGATAATCTTCCCTGGAGGCTGCTGTCCATCGTTGCATGCTCTTGTCGACGCTGCCTACAAGTCTTCGGCTCTTACTCTTGAACATATTGACAACATTGGGCTGCACTATGCAAAGACGCTCTCTGACTGGAGAAAGCGGTTCAACGCCCAGGAGAAAGTTGTTCGACGCTTAGGTTTTGACGACATTTTCCTTCGCGTATGGAACTACTACATGGTCTATTGCGAAGCCGGTTTCTTGACGCAGACAGAAAACTGCTTGATTCTAGTCTTTGCTCGTTCTGGTTGCACTGCCCTGGCTCCTCTGAGCGAAGCAAGATCCGTGACCCAGGACGTTCCGTTGACAGATTCGGAGGTTGAGAATTGGCTACAAGACGGAGTTTAGACAGCCGTGGTTCCTAGCTAGTCCTATCGAAGGCAGGCTGTGGGCGGCTACTGTACCTAATTACTAAGCTATTGTTAACGAGCTTCATCATGCTGTCACTGTCTAGAGCTTGCAATGACAATGCCACAGCTGCATCGTCCAATCCACCAACGCCGAAGTACAGAGCCCGCATCCCCTGGAATCTTCGCCGCTGAGGACACGATGTTGATTAGCCACGGCACCGGCTAACCAGTTTCACTTACCGGGTTACATCAAAGTCTTTGGGAGCTACATAGACATGTGGAAAGTTACTTTTGCTTGTGCTCAACAATTTTGGTCAGGTTCAAGATTTCTATTTCACATCCCGAAAATGGGGACGAATGGACGAGGAAATATTTTACGTGAAGCACTGAGGGGAAGGGTTGTGCGACTTTATCAGAGGCTGTTTACCACTTTATTTTGACCTACCAAACTTGATGCATTGGAGATAAAATATGTTTCAACATGGTTTATATAAATGAGAGTTTGAACCCCCATGCTCGTGGGACAAGCGCACGCTTCGAAGGCCGACAAAAACAAGCTCTTTTGTCTGTTGCAAGGCCAACGAAGTCGGAGGTCGCCACAATTTCAGAACAACACTGGCAAAACGATGACTGACGAAAACCTCCCTCCCCAGAGCATCAGGCGCATCGTTCTGCTCATACCTTTCTTGAACAGACAATCAGCTCTCCTTCTCTCCTAAGATCGAATTAACAGCAAGAATGATGATGAAGCAGAGCCTTACCTTCGTGTTGTCTTTTGTTTTCTTGGGACTTGCCACTGCCGCACCAGAGTCTAGTCAGCAAGACAAGGCCCCAGTGACAAGAGTTCGTAGAGGTCTCATCAATGTCAAGCAACAACAAGCAGACGAATTGAAACGTTTAACCAATGAGTTTGGTGAAGGCAACCGCGACCTCGAGGAAGAAGACATGGCGGCTCTTCTAGGCGAAGACATGAGCTTCTCCTTCGAAGACATGAGTTTCTCATATGACTACGAAGAATACGAAGAAGTAGAAGAGACAGGTGGAGGAAAGGGCAAAGGCAAAGGAAAGGGCAAGGGCAATGGTGCAAGTCGCTAAGCTTTATCCATTGCCATCGCACACCAGGTGAGGCCACACAGGAACAACGGCGCTATTTCGATGAAGCTTGGTTTCACACGCAGTACCAATGGGTACAGTATGAACCAGCATCATCAAGCATTGTGTTTCTTAGTGGGACAGCGGCAAGATGTTGCGGCTGAGAGATCGCCTCTCCGGATATACTTTTCTCCAATTCCCATGTATTCATTTAATATATGTCCTTGTGCAAGAGTGATCTTATTCTTTGGAACGTTAATGGTTATAGATTCTTGATGATTGATATATTCCTATCCCGACGCTTGTCTCATAGTTAGTTATCCCGCCACTTACACGTAGAAGGCTCAACTCGGAATAGCTACCAGTACTTGGCTGATGGAAATTCGTGTAGGATGACTGGCTATTGGCTGCGAGACGGCGCTAGCAAGCTTGAAAGATGTAGGCAGATGACCCACCGCCATCCAGGAGCAAAGAACTGGAAAACGGGCTGCATGAGACTGGAGACAGGCAGGCAGAATGGCTGTTTCACCACCATCTTTCTTGACTGCACTCCGCCTTCCTTTGCATTTCTTCATAGTAACCTTACATCTTCTTGGGAGTTCCATGGCTTTGAGCTAACTTAGAGACTGCATGTGGGAGTACTGGTAGTGCTGTGAGCCAAAGTTGGCCTTCGTCACAAGAGAGTGGTGGGAGCTCCCCCACGCACTACCGGTACTAGCTAGAGCTACCGGTACTAGCTAGACTGTGAGACTCGACTCGACTGAGACTCGACTCGTCACTCGACTCACTCGACTATGTGCTGGTGACAGTCTCCCTCGGCGTTCTTTCGAAGGGATGTGCGTCTTTCTGAACTTTTGGTACCGGTAAGGTTAGAGGTATGTCGTAGGTCTCGATCCTACAAATGGGTCATCTCAAGAGCCAGAAAAGGGTTACCGTACGTACTTTCTATTTACAGTACAATTTATGACAGTGACACGAGTTCTTCAATGGCAAGACAGATTCTGCAGCTGTCATCGGAGTTGCTTATATGTTAAAGCTTCAGATACCGGTTGCAATAGACGGTTCGGCTTGCATTCGCAGAGAACAGGTCTGCGCAACAGTTGGTTGTTCGACGTCCCAGCGATTGGCTAATCTGCACCAGCTGGTCGGAACAAAAGGTACAATCCTAGCTACTAGTAGAGCTAATCGTTAGGTACGACCGTATCTTTCTGTTTTGCTTCCTCACGATTTGCCAAAGAACAACCCATCACCATCCATCACCGTCCAGTTTCGCCTTCCCTTGTCCTTTTACAATCTCATAAATTCAGGTCGGCTGGTCCTTTTTCTTGTTTGATCATCCATTCTATCTATCTACTACTGTACACCATGAAGCTATTGAGTTGTTTGTTGTTGTTGGCTACTACTGGCAGCCAAGCCTTTGTGGTCAAGCCATCGATGCAGCGTGTGGCCACTCAAGTGAATGTGGCGTCTCCTCCCATTGATGAATGGAATCAACCCATCCCCGAAAAGGTCTCCACCGCCCCGGTGCCTGTCAACAAGGTCTCCAAGGCGGCGCGTTCTCGCATGGCCGACCGTATCATTGATCCTGACTTTTCTTTGGCTTTGGGAGTTTTCCTGTTGGCACCCATGATTGCTTGGTACCATCCCAGTAAGTTTTCATGAAATGGTGCTGGGCTTGCCAAATCATGTTCCATCAGATCAAAACTTTGTGCTGTGTCTCTTTTCTCACCTCTTCTTCTCTTTGTCTATGTCTGATTTGTATTGTAGCTTACATGGCGGATGGCAGCCCTTCTTTGCTTGGTGTTTTTGGAGCTGGATTCCATTTGGTCTTTGCCGCTCTCTTGTGGGTCCAGACGGTCCGCGTCCGTCTTGTATTTGAAAAGGACTCGATGGAATTTTACAATGTCAAGGGACCTCAATGTGACCTCGAAAAGGGCGCCAAGTTGGTCAAGAAACCCAGCAACTATGTGGCCGACACTGCCAATCGCTGGAAGTACGACGACATTATCAACTACGGTTTCTTCCCCAGCTTGGAGTTCCCCGTGATCTGCTACATGAAGGAAACCAACACGGACCCCGCCAAGTGGAACCGATGGTTTGCTGCCTTTGACTCGTACGGACGAGGACAGCCCCATTTCTTTCCTGGAATCTGCAATGCCCGTCAAATCAAGGAAGAATTCGAAAAGCGTGGAGTTGCCCGCAAGCCCATCCCCATGATTGGAGGAAAAGTGAGCAAGAAGTAAATATCGCTGTTTGATTTTGAATGGTCGGGGGAGTGCTGTTGTGTAATGGATGGACGGATGGATGTAAAAAAGAGAGATTGGTTGGAAGAGAAGACTGGAACGACAATGGTGATACTACAGCATGTCTACCAGTGTTTCTTCTTTCAATTCAAGAAGAACCATCCAAGCGCACAGCACAAACCCAGAATACAAGAAGAACAGGACGAATCACAGCACACTGCACACTAATATCGTTTCATATCCAGACAGACAGAAGAAAAACCCATGCTGCTTGCTTTCGAGAAGAACAAAAACGATCCGCAAAGCAAGTCAACATGACAAGAAAAACATGACACTACTTTTCAAGGTTAATGCAGTAGAGTAGATGCAGTAACACCAGAACTTTACCTTGATATCAAATCAATAGTCGTAGCATTGGATGAACTTTTGTCTTGGCTTTCCTTGGGGTTTGCTGTTAGGAAGGCAATCAACCAAGCTTATATTAGGAAGGGAAGCAACAACAGCTCGAAACTACGCAGCAGCCCCACTGTGCCTTTGCTGTTCCAAAGAAGCTGTCATACCCTCAGGTGTGCTTGTCGCACAGGTTTGCTGTCTTGGAGCAGCGCTGGTAGCATGCATGGTACTCATAGCAGTTCAAAGGACGTATATCAACTGACTGTGCTCGCTAGCTAGAACGTTTCCCTCAGAAGCAAAAGAACACCTGTTGTACTGATTCCCACTACGTACCGTACCCAGACAACGTACCTGCTGGACGTCTCCGTGAACAACCAACAACACAAGATAGATGAGGGGGTTTAGAGTAGGTAGATTATCTACGGAACAAGCCACACAAGAAATGAATCGAATCGAATCAAATCAACGAATCTCTTGAATCCGAGTCAAGAGGTAGCAACAATGTTGGGCGGGAAGGATTACTAGCCCTGCCAGATATGATGCTGTGGAGGAAAATATTATTGTGCACTACGCTAAAAGCTAGTGTAAAGATCTTTCGAGTGTTTTGAGTTTGAGAGAATGAAAGTTATGAGAGAGATTAGAAAGCTATGAAAACTAATCAACGAGAGAGATCACATCAAGGGATCGTAGATCTGGCTCCCCGGGAGACTATAAAGTGTGATAGAGTAGGTTGCGGTAGTAATCCTACGTATCTCCACGATCCTAAAACGGAACGGTGGAAGATTTGTCTAGCATGGATCTAGTAGCGTGGAAGTACTCCACTGGCTAAATTCTAGAGCGATGTTTCATCATCAACCCTAGTATGACCATACGCGCCTAGATTCTGGTGCGGTCACTCTGAACCGAAGACAGCCCTGATCTCAGAATGAGACTATTCACCCGAGAGATCCATCAGTGAAAGTCACTCCGACAACACCCTCTAATCCTAGGTATCGAAGAGTGTGATGAGAGGTAGGAGTCTGCGCGATAAAGGCTAAGAGGGCCTGTGTAATTGCAATTTCTGCATCGAATAAGGGATCGTACTCAGACAGCGCACGATCCTGCAGAACAAGAACACACCAGGGAATGCCGTACGAAAGAAGAACATTTCGTTACTGATTTGAGTGCGGATGGATCTAGTAGCGTGGAAGTACTCCAGCCACGCTCATCGTGATGTTGGAATGTAGACTGTGCAATCGAGAAGTATTCGGCTTATGAGTTCAGATGTTGGCGAATCATCCAATTCGTATTAATGACGTTGAGACTGGTCATTAGAGAGATACACAACTTAAGTACTCATATTGTATACGTATGGTGACTTTAGCCATGTTTTCTGACGAGAGCACTGCCACTCTCAGTCATGAGTCGAACTCAAACCCTATCTAGGATCGAGTCGCGAATAAGGCTAAGAGCCGTGTATTGCAAGAGCTCTTGAGCAAACTCGTAAGTGTATCCTGGTGATGTTGACTGCAGTGTCGGGCGAGGAAGACAATTTTGAGGACCTCCGAGGCAAAGGAATATAGAGGATTTCCAAAAGAATCTGCTAGGTACCGGGACGTCCATTGATACTGTCTCTGTCAGAACTACGGGTGACGAAAATGGCCTAGGAGTTCCATGGGATGTGACTGGTAGGCATGATAACGCGTTATTTTTCCTACAGTTGGTAGAACACTTGATTCTCAGGTCCCTATGTTTGTAACAGTCGTGGAAGCATATGGAGCCCAATTGCATCAAGTCTGGCTAGTTAGGATTTACTCTGGCACATCGCCCTGCATTCATCCATGATCCAAACAGATTGAATGGCTCAGTGAAAACGGAGCTGAGTGCCCACCACCAAGAAAGTTTTGATTCTACCATCGTACGAGTCATACATTTAGTGTAAGATTTTAAAAGATGTCCAGTACTATTGATGCATCAAGGAAATGGCTGCCAAGACCTCTGGTTGGGGCAAAGCTTGCTGGCTCTTACTGCATGCATGTTTCTACCATCTTCGTTTGTACCATTGCAGTCTCGTCTGCTTTCTAGGTGCCTTGCATGGCACTGGCACTGACATGAGTTGGACCTTACTGTCATGTCAATTGATGGGTGTGAAGTGGTGCCCTGTGCCCTGCATCTGTTCTTGGACGAAACAATGTCTTGGTTGTGCGCCTTCGTTGTAAGACCACTCTGGTGGCAAAACTCAAAACGCTCACCCTAATCAGCGACAGAGGAGCCAGTGGCGCGGTTAACCGTTTGGAGGCCCCGCTATTTTTCCACAGCTGTTGCCACCGCACAATTTGGTTAGTCGGCGGGTTGAGAAGTCAAAAGATCTCGTGCATGTGTGTGTGGACGACCGAATGAGACAGCTATCGATTTGATTTGGGTTTGTCAATCTTGGAGCTGTTTCTGTCTGGATAGCGCTTGTAGAGGCTGTCAAGAAGAAGGGCTAGCTAGCTAGAGTGGGAAACTTGTTGTCAGTCAGTGGTCACGCATTTGGTTTCTCACGATCGAGTGATAGCCTACTCTATTGTATTGGACATTTTTCTCCTTGCGTTTCCACCTGATTCCCCGCTATTACTTTTCTTCCTCTCGCTTTGAGCCATCCACCATGGACGCCCAACAACTAGCTCAAGTAGAGGCTCTCTGCGAGACGCTGTACACGGGAATGCCAACGACAGACGAGAATGGCCAGCAAGTGTCTCGCAATGAAGCGCAGCAACGCCTTTTGAGTCTTCAGTCGTCGGCCGAGTACATTCCCCAATGCCAGTATATCTTGGACAACTCCAACTCGCAATACTCTCGACTTGTGGCCTCCAACAGCTTGATAGAACTCATCACGATTCATTGGAACAGCTTCACAGTGCCACAACGAATTGACATTCGAAATTACGTCCTTGGTTATTTGGCCAACAATGGACCGCAGTTACAAGATTTTCTCACTCTCTCTCTTATCAAGCTCGTCTGTCGCATCACCAAGCTGGGATGGTTTGACGACCCCACCCATCGGGAACTAGCAGACGATGTCACGAAATTCCTACAAGCCACCGTGGATCATTGCATTCTGGGACTCAAGATTCTAAACCAACTCGTTGATGAGCTCAACATTCCTACCACTGGACGGACACTCACACAGCACCGTAAAACGAGCGTCAGCTTTCGAGATGTATGTTTACTGAAGGTCTTTCAATTAGGATTGACTACCTTGAAGCAACTGCAAACACGGGCCATTAGTAAGTGCATTTGTTTTATCGGAGCTTCCGCGAAAAAAACAGACAAACCCATTTGATTTGCTCATTCATTCATCTTGTCACTCATTTATTTCTTTTCATTTCGTTCCACTTCCAAAAGCTGCGAATCCAAGGCAAGAGGGAATCCTAGGGGAACAAGCTTTATCACTCACTGTGCGCTGTTTGAATTTTGATTTCATTGGAACTAACCCTGATGAATCAACCGAAGATGTTGGAACGATTCAAGCACCCACTTCATGGCGACCTTTGCTGCAGGACCCCGCCACCACTGAGCTTCTATTTGAATTTTATGCTACTGCCGATCCACCGCGCTCGTCCAAAGCCATGGAAGCCATCATTCTACTCTCGTCCGTGAGGCGCTCTCTGTTTCCCACCGACAAAGACAGAGCCGCTTTCCTGGGACGACTCATGGGTGGCATTCGTGAAATGTTGCTCAAGGAGACTGGTCTCCAACATCAGGATAATTACCATCAATTCTGTCGGCTTTTGGGACGATTGAAGGCAAGCTACCAACTCAGCGAATTGGTTAAGGCAGAAGGATACCTTGAATTCCTCGAACTGGCAGCGAAATTCACAGTACAGTCCATTCGAAACTGGCAGTACAGCACAAATTCAATACATTACCTCCTAGCGCTTTGGGCGCGCTTAGTGGCGGCAGTACCTTACGTACGACCGGAAACTGGAGCACGAGGTCACGTCCCGCATCTAGAAAAGCAAGTACTCTTGGTGATGGAAACCTACATTGATAGTATGCTGGGATCGGTCGAGACAGTGCTTCGCAGTGACGGTGCATTGGACGATCCATTAGACGACGACGGCTCTCTCAGAGAGCAGCTGGATCGTTTGCCAGTAATCTGCCGATTCCAATACGGGAGGGTCGCCAACATGATGTTGAACAAATTCGACCCACTGCTTAACCAATATCGAGACCTGATGGCACCTCTCGGCGCCAACGCTACCTCATCCGCGCCTCAGGACGTGCAACAACGAATGGCTATCATCGAGGGACAGTTGACATGGTTGACTTACATGGTTGGAGCTGTCGTCGGAGGTCACAGCTGGTCCTCAGCGCAAATGGCAGACGGAGAAGAAACCATTGACGCAAGTCTCAGTCGACGGGCCCTTCAACTTGCCCAGGGTGTAGATTTTCGCCTTACTTCGTCCAATGGTGCCGGCCGCTCAGATCCTAGACTGGAGCAGGCGCTACTCTTCTACTTTCAGAATTTCCGACGGGTTTACATGTTTATGTGGGATCAAATGTCTGGGTCCAACTCTGGTGTATCCGGAGACAATCTGTCGTCTGTTGTTGGCATGATTGCTTCGAAATTGGACTCTGGGCCGTCTACGAAACAAAAGATTTACCAACGAATGTTTGATCACTTGGGAATGGGTGACCACACTGTTGTGGCTAATCTGATCGTGACGAAAATGGGAAACAACCTGAAATATTGGCCCGAGGAACAAGAAATCATCGGAAAGACTCTCGACTTGCTACACGACATGGCTCAAGGCTACAGCAGTTCCAAACTCCTCCTTACGCTGGAGACTGTTCGCTTCCTAGCCTTACATCACACCGAGGATCAATTCCCGTTTCTTTCAATCCCCGGCAATACGCGACATCGCACCACTTTCCACGCCACCTTAACGCGTCTGTTGCTGTCTCCGCAAGGAGAAGAAAAGCTGGGACTGACGTTTGACCAATTCCTCAAGCCGATTGTGACAGTCATGGGGCAACTCGGAAGTTTGTCGCCTCAGGACCTACGAAACGAGAATTGTCGTCGACCGCTAGTTGGCGTATTTCGAGATCTTCGTGGCATTGCAGCTAGTCTTCACAACCGAAAAACATACAGCGGTCTCTTTGATATTCTGCACCCCAATCATCTTCCGTTGCTCGCAAAGGTTGCCGACGTCTGGCACGACCAAACTGAAGTCATCATTAGTCTGCTGCGATTTCTGCACGAGTTCTGTCACAATAAAGCCAACCGAGTGAACTTCGATCAGAGCAGCCCCAATGGAATTCTGTTGTTTCGCTGTACTAGTGACGTGGTTTGTGCTTACGGACGGCGGCTGCTGGCAACACCACCGCCCGCTAGCGGCGATCGGGACATTTACAAGATTCGGTACAAGGGGTTGGCGCTGTCTCTAAACGTCCTGAATTCGGCTTTGGGCGGAAATTACGTGTGCTTCGGAGTCTTTGAGCTCTACAATGACAGAGCCCTGGACAATGCACTTGATGTTGCACTACAAATGACACTGTCTGTCCCAATGGATGATGTGAACTCCTATCCGAAACTGAGCAAAGCATACTACAGCTTCATCGAGATTTTGTTTCGAAATCACCAAAAGACTGCCTTCGCTCTGGACACGAATGTCTTCATGCAAATCATGGCAACTGTGCACGATGGATTGCAGTCGAGTGACGCAACAATCAGTGCTTTTTGCGCGAACACGATCGATCACATGGCCACTTACTACTTCAACAACTCGGGAAAGGAGAAGGTCGAAATGATGAATCTGAACAAGGTACGTTTCCTTCTCGATTGGGCTGTTCAGGAATTGATTGCATCGTGCTTGGATTATCTCAAAACAAGATCGGTTCGCTTTGTTGCTTCAGCACCTGACTGCACAGCCCAATTTGTTTTCGAGTTTGACAGCCACTCTGTTCAATTTGTTGCTTTATGGACCCCCTCAGAACCATTGGGCTGTGATGCGACCAGTGCTGAGTCTGATGTTGGCAAGCGAAACAAGTTTTACAGCTTACAAGGACCACTTGATTACTACTCAGTCTCCTGAGAACCAAACCAAGCTGAACGAGGCTTTGAACAAGCTACTTGCGGATGTTCAGCGAAGTCTCGACAATGCCAATCGCGATCGCTTTACGCAAAAGCTGACTGCATTCCGTGTGACAGCTAGAAGCTTTTTGACAATCTAGAGAATGGTGCTGTTGTTGGCTTTGGTTGTCGTTTTGTACAAGTACCGGTAAGATGACACTTCTACTAGCTAGATCCATGGCCGTCGTTCGGCCTGAATGATTTGAACAAGCAGTGCCCCAACTTTCACCCGACAGCCACCACAGGATCACTACAGCCACTTCTGGCGTCATCAGGAAATGCAACACGAGGAGACGAAGATGGTAGAACTGTGATTAAGCGTTGACTGTAAGCAAATAGAGCAATACAATGAGCTTCGTCCTGGCTATCTAGGTACTGGTATATAGGTGGCTATTAGACCGTAGCCAGGAAAACAGCCGATCCTTTAACGAGGTGTGGCGAGCTTTTACAGCACGGTGCCAGGTACCGTACCGGAGTCGCTGTTTCGGGCCAACACCGCTTGAAGTTTGTTGTGGTCTGGTTTCTGTTTCTCGAGCTGCCTTTCCCTTTTTGAAGTTCACTTCCTTCTTCTGAATTCTGAACCCGCCGGGGACGAAAGGGCGCCCACAAACATATGATACAAAGTTTAAGTCAGCGGGAGCTGCGATACCTCGGCAGAAAGACAGATAGAAGAAGGAGGATTATGTTCGGATTGCACCCATCTTTCAAGCTAGCCCTGGCGACAACACCCGACTACGTCGTGTGTTGCAACACCCGACTACGTCGTGTGTTGCCGCCCGCAACTCTATAATTTACCAGCTGTCATTCCCTTATTGTAACTCTAACATTTACAACTGGCTTATTGTGCTGTTGTGCTGATTGCACTAACCTTAAATATTAATGATTTATTCCTACCCCTAACTTGTATTGAACCATCAATGTTCAGTTTTGTTGGCTTATGACTATCTCTATCCTTATACTTTGGCTTCACCGGAATAGGAAATAGGAAATAGGAAATAGCGGGAGCTGCGATACCTCGGCAGAAGGACAGACAGAAGAAGGAATACATTTGAGATTGCTGCAATATACAAAGAGGAGAATCTCGAGGATCAGAGGGTAGACCACTAGCTAATACAGTAAATCGACAATAACACAGAAGCATTTCATTTACTGTAGCCGTATTTTTCCACAAGCCCTGGTAATATATTTTGCCGCCACCACAAACCCTTGCGAGCACAAATTGCTTTGCGGATTGATTCTTTAACCCGATCAAGTTGCAGATCATGATGGGTTGCACTATCTTTCCTCTCTTGCGCAATCTTCTTTCTATCACACGTATGTTGAAATATGTTGCACTCTGCTTCGTAGAAACCCGGATCCTTCGCATGGAGTTTCTGTTGCCTTTCGTCCCAATCATGCCTTAAGATTGCATGTTCTTTCTTTGCCTGTTCTGTGATGTCTGTAAGCTGAGCTTTTATCCATCCTCCATTTACAGACGTTTCTAGGTCTTCAACACCACGTAGCTTCTGCAGCTTATGTCGCTCCATCTTCAGCTCAAGCTTTAGCTTGCTTATTTCTAAAGCTCGTTCAATCCATCGCTTTCTTTCTTTGAAATCTTGTGCCTCAGCATCAAAAAATCCCTTGATCGAGCGTCTGATCTGTTTCCTTTCTTGATCCTTTTTTTTGCAATCTCTTTTTCTTCAATAGATTGTTGTTCTCGATGCTTCTGCATGAATTCTCTTTTGATTTTCAACTCTGCCTGCCGTTCCTTGTCTGTTTGTTGTGCCCGTTGCTTCTGTCTGGAGCGCCGATTGGCTTCAATCTTCCTGCGGTAAGCAGGTGTTCCATACTTGACAGGCATGGTTGCTTTGTCACCACAGTTCGTGCCGTGATGAATGGTCCGTGATGATGGCTGTTGTCTGTAGGTGGCTGGTGCTTGTGTAGGGAAGTTTTACTATGCAGTTGGAGGGAACTATGGGGGAAAGGGATAACAAACAACATGGCTACGGTGTGTTGTCCATTGTGGATCTGTGGCTGCTGTTGGGTCTCGCCACAGCATCCTTTAAGCTTAACCCTAACCCTATACCCTGGCTTCACCAAAACGAGGGGATCCCACAGACGCAAATGGAGGGGGATCCCACAGACACTGCATAGGCCTATTAAAGGGGTAGAGGGCTCAGGCAGATAGACTGCCGAGGTAATAGTCCACAACGCGGACCCTCCATCTCTGCTCTTCCCTTTTCCTTTCCTTGAGGGTTCCCCCATGGCTTCATGGTACATGTACTGGTACTAGTACTCCTTATGATCCGACAGGATGGACACGTTACTGACTCTGAACAATGATGCCAGCACTAGTAGTGATGCCCGTCCATCAGTAATACCGGTAGTATTAGAAGAAGCAGAGTTGTTTGTGCAATTTGGTCACAAGTCTCTATGGACTCAATTGGTGGTGGCGGTGGCTTCGATCATCTATGCGGTGGTCCTTCACAATGGACACTTCACCGTGTACATTCTTGCCGTGAACCAAAGCTGGTTTTTCGTTCTTGTGTGGTGTACGACACTGGCACAACAACACAGTCGTACACCATGGATCTTGTGCGGTGTTTCCAAAGTGCTGCTTTTGACAGTGTTTATTTCGTTGCGATTGCAAGATCAAGAAGATTTTCCTCTGTTTTCCGGACTCATCTTTCTGGCGTGCGTTCCGGTTTTTGTGGCGGGCATGGTGCGCATACGATCCAGTCTGCAAACGGCCCATTCCAATAACAATCAACAACGCAGTGCCATGGCACTCGATTGCATCGATGCGACGCTGCGAGCGGGTGTCTTGCAATTGGCTTTGCTCACAGCGGCACTGGTGGGATTTGGAACACTCTCCGAAGTCGAACTGGAGCAAATTGTACGACTGGAGAGTGGCAGTCATACTACTACCAATGAACAAGACACCACCAGTACCATGTTATTTCTACTGCAAACAAAGCAAGATCACGACGAAGCCATTCAAGGCGCCATTACCTGCACACAGGCCAGCATGGCCAGTGGCGCCGTCAACTTTTTCCTCCTGCAATCCATCGTCACACGACATGTGACCAAATTGCAATTGCACCACATTGTGGCAGGTCGCGTCTTGTGGCTGGAATACGCCTCCATGGGATCGCAATTGCTCATTGTTGTGGCCGTGGCGGCCACCTTGGCATTGACGCCCTCTGCCATGTACACAGCCTTTTTCACCCAAGTTGATTGGAAGGATTGGGGTACCTTTCGACTCCTCTTTCTGGTCGTGTATTTGCTTCCAGGGGTTCTTCTCTTTCTGCTCAATGTCTACTTTTGTGCGGTTTTTGGGAAACCCGGGCCGTTGCGGGATTTCTTCCTGCAACGCCATGACACAACAACCAATTCAAGTAGCACTAGTGCTAGTATCGGGGAGAGGATGGACCGTGCCGAGGAAGAAGGACGCAAATTGCAATGATCGGTGGATGATTTATACGATAAGGTCCATCGTGGTGACACGGAACGACAGTCCCTGCAGGTTGCCATCACGGATCTACATGGGTTCTGTCATACTGAACTCGCGCCACGAATGTCCCGACTGGAGGAGTCGCATCGACAACGGCGGAATACAACAACGACGGCAACAATAAGCGTGATACGGCAATAAGGAAGGACCACTAGCACAGACGCGGTCACACAGGGCCACCTACCGTGCGAGAGGATCTCTTCAAAAGCTAATCTCCTGGTCCTACACCTCATGCTCCCCTGCCCCAACAAAGGAACCAGAACAACTCATGCGCAAGTCTTCGCAACGAACAAAATCCTTCTCCGCCTCCATGCTGTCGTCCTGTGAACCAGTCCTCTGCCTACCAACAACAGAAGGAAATATCACCCCCCAGTCAGACTCAACTCAATCAGAGCCCCTTCACTTGGCTGGTTACTCGTGGAGACTCTGTCAATGCTTCTTCGTTGTGCATCTATTTATTTGGAGCGGGGACCGGGAAGGGTGCTGTGGACCATCCAGTCACTTCTCGGGCCGAGAGGTTCGCAATACCGTACATTACGACATAGGTCCAACCCGAGCTCTTGGTTCCGTCTCTGGGTCATTTCCCGGCCCTACAGTGCTGGCCATGTTGCTTCGTCAGAAGGAGCCTTGGGTCGACAGATCGGCCATGGGAATGTGCCGATTGTAGTAATTTGCCGAGGTGCCTTTGCGCATCGGTCCTCCTTGTCCCTAGACTTGCGCTGCGGGAGCTTCAGCAAAGCTGCCACCACCACTGGATCGTCCATGGGAGAAGTCTCCTCCAAATGTGGATGCCGTGGATCGTTTGCTGAAGGCTGTGAAAGTGGAAGAACCATGTATTATTCTTTTTGCTTTATAGTAGTCTCCTATCTATTTAATTCATTGCAACTAGCTACCTTGCCGTAGCTCCATACATACTCTCACTCACTCACACCAGGCATCAACCAATCATTGCTTGCTTTCTGCATGCTCTCACCGTCTCCTTATTAGATATCCTCCACCTTGGCAGATACCACGGTGGGAACGGCATCACCAGCCCCCATGACGGTACGCTGCTGCTGACGACGACGACGACCAAAGATTCGCTTGCGCAACGGCTGCAGCGTCGCCACTCTCCAAAGACGATTCTCCCACCGATTGTGCTTGTTTTCCTTGGCCACTCGATACGTTTCTTCGCGCAACTGGGACATGCTATCTTCCCAGCTCCACCGGAGCATTTCTTCTCGGGACCGTCGACCCATTCGCTGCCGAAGCTCGACATTGGATTGCAACAGCTTCAACTTCTCCACATACCCATCAATATCCCCTGTTTCCACCAAGAAGGATCCCGTGTTTTCCACGGGGCGAATGGTGTGTGGGATACCTCCGGCATTGCATCCCACCACGGGCACCTCCGATGCCATGCTTTCCAAAACGACAAATCCCAACGTTTCGGAATCGGACGGCATGCAAAAGGCATCGGCACTGGCATAGGCTTGAGAGAGTTCATCACCGTGCAACAAGCCCGTAAAGTGGACTTTGTCTCCGAATTCGGCAAAGTTTTTGTGGAGTTGCTTCTCGTAGGGACCATGTCCCACAATGCACAAACGAGTATTGTCCATCTTATGCAGAATCTCCTTGATTTCATCGATACGCTTTTCCCTGCCCAGACGTCCCACGTGGACGATCAAAAAGTCGTCGGGGTTTCCGTTGGTAATGCGATGGCGCATCTCTTGACTCTTGAAGCGTGGATGGAATCGTTCGGTATCGACCCCCTTTTCCCACAAGAAGCAACGAGGAATGCCATGATCTTTGAATTCTTGTACAATCTGAGGTGATGTGGCCTTCATCATAACATTTTTGATCAACAAGAAAGTGATAAAAGCGAGTGACAAAGCGAGTCAATGAGCAAGAGAAAGATACATGGTGAGATTTGAAAGAAATTGTTCCAGCGGATGAGCCAGAACCAGTGCATATCCGGCAGTCTCTCTTTTCAAGTTCTTAAAAAAAAATACTCACCACAGTAGCATCTACCATGGAATGAAAGATGCGAATGAGTTGCCAGGACAACCATTCACAACCTCGTTGCAATCCCATGAATTTGGGGACATAGGATCGAACATAGATTGGCATGTGTGTATGGTAGCTAAAGAGCAATGGGATTTGAAAGAGTCTCGAGTACAACAATGCCGGAAAGGGCAACAATCCCGGAGAGGACACGTGCAGGATGTCGGGTCTCATGCGTCGAATGACACGTCCAATTTGGAATCTCCAATCCACGCTCAATCCGAGTTCGTTGTACCAGGGAATGGGCACTGCCGCCGTGTGATGGACGGTCCGACCCAAATGGGAGTCGGGCTTTTGACCCGAGTGGACATCGACCGTCACCACTTCAAAGTTAGTTTGTTGCGAATCCAAGTGCTTAAACAAGGCTTGAAAGCGATTGGCGTAGCCACTGACTGTAATGGAAAAATAAATAATTGGAGTGAGCAGATGATCACATAACAATGGTACAATTTTTAAAAGCCAAGACATCTGTCAGATAATTGCTTTATTGGATAAATAAACTCACCATACGTCAATGGGCTTGGCTCGACCAAGACAAGGACCTTATTTTTGCCTTGTGGAGGCGCAATTGCCGAAAAGGCATCCACAGTCTTTGTAGCAGCAAGCAAAGCCACAATGAGAAAAGAAAAAGACGTCATTATTATGGTTCAGCTCCAACGAGAATAATTTTGTGAGAAAATGCCAATCCAGTTGTTTTTTATGATGCCTTTCCGTGCTGGTTGGATCCAACAATCAAAAAAAAGTGCTCAGCCAATTAGTTGGAATTGATTAGACCGTTGCAAAAAGCTGTCATTGGAATTCTGATGTGATGCCCATCAAGGGGGCGAGATGCCAATCTCTTCATCTCAATGAAGGTTTTGATTGTTGACACAATAAATGTCAATGTGGAATTGCCGGAACATGGTTGTGAGAAAAAGGTATCTTTCATTCGTGCATTTCGGCAAGGTCGGAATGAACATTCCAAAAAGCATCGCGTGGGCACGCAGGCGTGTGGATCCCTCCGACGATCCACGGTCCAAGAAAAGTTGAATACAGTGTAACGACGAAACAACGGCCATTATTCCCGAAAGCGACGATGTCTGCGAAGCACGGCGCAAGCAGAGCATTATGGCCGCAACCAGCAACAACAGCAAGAAGCACAAAACAAGCAATGCGCCCTCTGATAGTGCCTCAGCTTACGGAGGCCAAACAGTGCTCGACTCTCGACTTCGATCTGTATTGTGTCATCCGCTGGGCCTGCCTCTGCTCTGCTCGTTTTGCGAGGGAGAGGATCCTGACAGCAATGATCTTGGGGGCTTGAAAAGATCATCTGCAACATGGACTCCTGAGCAGACTTTTCTCTAGTGTTGTCACCTCGAACCCCAATTGCAAAGAACCTCAAGTGACAGCAGCAGCCCTGATCGATGCCATGGAAGAGAACGAGCTGGGCTTCTTGAAGTTTCATTCAGGAGATCAAGCTCGTGTGGACGGAAGAGGGATCGTCATCCAATTTGGATTTGGATCCCACCATGACTCCTGACTGAAGAAACTGGATCAAAGCGTCAAGTACCTTGATACTATGATGGTGAAAGAAGCAAGCGACAACATGCAATTTCAAAGCCAATTCTCCTAATTGTCATTGCAATGGAGACTAGCACAGGTGAAAGTGGAGTCGATTGTGAGATGAAGATCGGCACATTTCTCTGTATCCCAAAGGGTCCCAAAAAAGAAACTGATGATGCGTTTCAGATGTCCTTGCTGTGGCATGAAAAAGCAAACACCCTCAATGCAGCTTCAAAGTTGTTTGGACAGATGCTCAATGCCACACAAGACTTTCCCAATGGATCTCATCAAATGAACAAGCAGATTATGAATATTTCGGCTCCAATTGCTGCCGAGTGGGAGATGAAGTATTCCGAAGCTACGATAATCGGTATCACATGACGGCTCGGTCACCAAGCGTTTACCTCACCTGCCAAGATATTGTTGGCAAGTGCAGAACAGTTGTTGAGCTCCCCGTAAGGGGCAGCGAGCCAGGAGGAGAAGATGATGACTTTTGGCACAAAGGCAAGGCGCAAACCTTGCTGATTATTGCAGTCCCATTCCGCACTGGAGGTCATCAAGCAAAGCAACCTGCCGCATTTGTTCCCATCATCCAGCAACTCCAAGAGCTGCACAAGAAAGGTTTTGTTCATGGTGACATTCGTGCTTGCAACATTGTATTTGGTGAAGATCCGAAGGAAGGCTGGTTGATAGATTTTGATTTTGATTTTGGAGGAGAAGCAGGGGTTGTCAAATACCCAAATGGATACAAACAAACACTCGATGACGGTAGACGAATTGGCGAAGAAGGAAATGAAATTAAAAAAGTTGACGATTGGTACGGCTTGGGACAGCTCATCTTTGATCTGCACCGTTTTGACAGGAGTAACATGACAGCACCAGATCTGACACTATGGGAGCTTGAGGGCTTTTGGACAACAACACCAGATGGCTGGGAGGAAGGACTACCCTTTGAAGACCAAGTTGTCAAGTTGCTTAAATATGTTGGGTCGTATCGACACAACGGCTACAAACTGCACCCTATTTTCAAAGCATTTCTGGAAAATTGAGCAACCAAATGATGCCACTGCACCAGGTGCCACAAACAGTCCATTGAAGGGCTGATGGTGAAGGATCGTTTCTTGCATTTTGGCAATGTTCGAGTCAGGATCATTCGTAGGATATTACCGCTGGGTTGGGCTTCCCTGTATAACTTATACTCCAGTCTGAGAGTCGCCATGGTGTCCAAAGAATCCATCAGAACTAGGTCAAACAGCAAGTAACTCAGCCGCTGCTTCCATAGTTGCCCTCTTTCTTGTCTCGCTTTCCTTGGTTGGCTGGCTAGCGAGCAGATCGTTGACTCCAGCAAGAGTCTCTACATACTCAAGAGTTACCATTTGCACCACAGTGTGCACACAGCAACAGACTGCTCTGTTGGAACGTCTTGTCACGGAATGAACTTGCCTGTGGCTTGCCGAGGAGCCGCATGGGTGGGGGATGAATCGATTCTGTAGCTTCTTTGTGAGACCTGTGAGTTTCTATTGTGCCTGCCTGTCGTGAACTTGTTCCATCCGTCTCGATGACTCTTTCACCAAATCAAGGGCGACCGCGTGAATCAATTGTCAAACTCATTCAAAAATCTCCCTTGAGTAGAGTGCATGGAGCGTGACTCGGGGGATGGGATCCATGCTCAGTACTGCTATTGGTGGAACTGCTAATTGCTGCTCCGTCGGCTGCATCGTCGAATGTGTCAACCACCACTTCGAAACTGTTTTCGTTTTGTTGGTGATAAACTTGATCTTGTTGCTTGCGTCGACGGTGAATCTTGTTCTCTGGATGTCCATTGATAAGAACCATTGGTTCGTCATGGTTGCAATGATGTCCATTAGTAGTGTCATTGCTGCTGTTTGTTGCTACCACAATGGCGGGCGACTGTACCATGATGTGTTGTTTTGTGTCTGGATCATACTGCCATTTTCGGTAGACGACATTTGATGGCGGATTTCCCAGCACCCGTTCGAGTATGGTGGCGGCATTGTGGTCATCGTCCCAATCAGCGTGACTGTAGGGTGCAAAGGGAGGATTGTCGTCTTGTTGTGGTGCTTGTTGTTTGAGGTTGCTATAGCAGCGTCCCATAGTTCTGTGCGTGTTGTCATCTTCACAACAACATCCTTCGGTACAAAAGACGACTCCTTTGCGTCCAAAGCAGCGTTGACAGGCCAATTTGCGACACCAGGTCGATAATCGTACTGGTTCCTTGAATTCTTTATAGCGTTTGATTTGTCGTTGTCGTTGAGTTTCGTACTGGTCATATACTTGTTGGAGTTCGGGTGTGGGTTCGTAGTGGGGAGGGATTTTCCGTGGACATTGGCAGATAGTCTGGTATATCTTTTCCGAAGGAATACAGGAGGGTACTGAGCAGGTGTCTTGGCAGAGCACAGGTCGTTTGCGATGTACGGGATCCCCCATTTCTGAGACATGACCTCTCCAGTACTGCAAACACTGTTCCATTTGTGCTGGTGTGAGAGAGCGTCCTTCAAAATACGCCTGCAAGGCTAAGTTGGAAGCCATGGCGGCTTCATCTCCATCGGCGAGTCCTTTATAGCGATATGTACAACACATCATGTCACAAGGCCATTCGTCACACCACCATCCATCCGTGCAGGAATACCAAAGAGGTCCATTGCATTGACAGCGTTGCCGTGCCACGACATCTCCAAACAGAGGAAAGACACAACACACCAATGACAGGACTCCTCGTGGGACACGACGAAACCCAAAGGCACCTCGATCAAACGGATGACTGAAGACCTGATCGGCATTCCAGGAACCACAGCCCAACATGCCAAAGGCACGGCCATATGGGCTGTTGATTTCGATGCGATTCGGATAGACACGATAATATGTGCGAGAGCTGTACTCCTTGCGAACCCAACAACAAATTTCGTCGAAATGAATCTTGCAGCCGTTTGTCAACAGGATTTGAAAAATGAGCATGGGCCACATCGGCGTGAACAACCAACACGGTCGCACACAGCTCCATGCCTTGCCATTGTCCATTTCTGCCGTGTACAACAGAGTGTCGGGAGGGGTGGCCAATTTGTCCACAATGCGAGACGAAGGGAGACCGTCAATGTCGTCGGGGACAAACACTTGGTTGGGACGGTACCGCCCAAAGGTACGCAATCGGAGAGGAGTGTTGGGGTCTGGGAGAATGTCAACATATTCTTCGTCCAAATCGGCCGGATCCAAGTACCGTCGCCGCTCATGCGGCGAACTGGAACAGCAGCCCATTAGTATGTATTGTGAGCTAGCTATAGCTAGATCCAATCCCTGCTTCAGCAACCGAAAAAGAAACACAAACACAGATGCTGGAAGTGAGGAAGACAGCGTATTAGTATGGCAGTGGGTCCAAAAGAGCAGCAACAGCGGCGAAGTGAAGGTCCGGTCCGGTTGACTGGTTTGCTCAATAAGGTTCGGTGTGTGACGTGTGTGTCCTTTTAAAACCACAAGCCTTCCAACTATTTTAGGGTTTCAAAAGTATTGCATCCACCATGGGGACCAGTACCACCGAGGGAAGGTCACAATACCGGTAGTTAGTTGTTCCAGCTAATAGAATCAGGCAAACGACACGGGAAGCCTAGCTAGTGCTAGCTCGTAGAGTACTAGTAATGGACCATTCCCGTTTCACATCATCACAGCTACCAGCTGCAGTGCAGTCGCTAGCTAGAAACAGACTCCAGGTCTCTCAAGGAGGAGAGCGCCAATGTATCCACTACTGGATGTCTGATCCATGGGTCGTTCGGGATTCCAGGGAGGCATCTCTACCCGAGCTTTTGCTTCTCAATGCTTCCTACAGTCCCAATAGCTACCGCGAGCCAACACCTCGATTCAAGCAGATTGGCTCCTAATCCTGAGCAGATATTCATTCCACGAAGAGCTACGAGGCTGCCGAAGCCATCCTTTCTTGGACGATGAGAATCCACCATGATGATATGCTCGACAGGTCACCAAGCCCAGCCAATTTTCGTCGGCGTTGAAGGCATGGGCCAATTCCAGGCATCCCCAGGCCGGTCAAAGGGCAGAGCGGGTCCTTACAGAGAGTATTCTTGATCACATGGTCAAGCTTCACCATTAAGGAACCAGCAAGTTGTCAGTTACTACAATGCAGTCATGAACTGTTGGGCTGTCTCAAAAAACAGGAAACACACCGTACTTTTAGAACACCAATCTTCCAAGAACCTGTACCGCTACATATCCGGTACCTGGTACCGGTACCGGTACCTTGTGAAAACACCACTTGGATCCAAGACTCAGACCCAACCACACCGGATCGTCCCTTCATTCTTTTTCCAACCACAACTGTATCCAATCATGCCTTCTATCGTCTTCAAGAAAACCTTCAAGGACAAGGAGCACAGCGTCCGCAACGAGAAAGGGCTCTCCTTCCATGGCACGTCCGTTACCAAGGCTTTGATTGGACACGTCAACGATGCTCTTCTCACGCTTCCTGTCGTTACGGAACATGGAGACAACAAACCTCTTCAGTTCCAATGGAACGGCAAGCACTGGTACGCCAAGATGAACCACGCCTTCCAAAAGACGCACGAAGAGGATGCCGTGGCCGAAGTGTTGGATGTCATGCAAGCCATGGGATGGAAATTTCAGTTCCAATACGACACGGAATTTACGTCCGAGAAGATATTTGGGAGCGACACGGAAACGAGCAACGAGTTGTGGGTCTTCCACAAGGAACCAGAATGTTATCAAGTCTTTAAAGAGACAGCCGATATGAAAGTTGGTATCGGTTGTAGGAAGGACGATACCAGTGGTTTGATTTATGTCTCCAGCGTAGCTCCAGGCTCCATTTTTGAGTCAACCGGAATTCAAGTGGGCGCCCCTATCCTCAGCATCAATGGAGTTCCCTGCAAAGGCAAGCAGCTGACGGAAGCTGTTCGCCTTATTACTTCCAAGGCAGGGCCCGTCAAAGTCATGACTTACTACTAGCTAGAGCTTTCTACCAAGACACGACAAAAGCAAGAATAATATGGTAGCAACCATTCAACAGCCATTCCAAGATAGTAATGACAAGCCATTCAAAGTGCAGACGGCTTTAATCACTCATGAGTATACAAAGTAGAGCAACCTACCGTGCCATTTTGCTTCATTGGAGGGGGCACAACTGGTACCGAGGAAGCGAGGACCAAACGAGGACCAACTTTTATGGTTCTGGCTACGGTAGAAGCACCTTTTCGATGGTTTTCGCCTTTTGTGCATCTCATGACTCTTCGTTGGACTAGCTAGTGTGCCGGTACGATACATGATTGGCTTGAGGTTCAAAGTTTGTTTGCTTTCGCCACAGCAATCGTACTGTACACAGAGTCTCGTTGCCACTGAATATGGAAGGCTTGACTGATTCCCGGATGCACCTCCCGCGGGGTGGGATCTTCTCCCCGCGGCGAGGTTTCCCCATTTCAAAAGATAGATCATGAGCTTTGTATTTATACGAACCTTTCTCTTTGCTTCTTGGCATGATAGTACATGACATGACATTCTGCAATGCGGATAGTAGCTATAGAAGCACTGACATCAACCAACGAATCAATTCAAAATCAAAGGACTGGTCCGTCATAGAATGAGCACAACTGTAACTGTACCGGTAGCTAGCTAGGCTTCAAGTTTAGCTTGTAGAGTACCACGAGGGCTGGAGAGATCCTTCCTTGGCCCTCTTTACAGGAGGAACTGTCTGGGTTCATTCTGTTTGCATTGCTCGGGTTGAATTGCTTCTATCCCCACCCCTACGGTGTTCTCACTCGTCACTCGACTCGACTCGACTCTCACTGAATTTTGTGGCCGCGTAAATAAATGCCAATGCGACATGCCAATTTCCGGGCGCTCCGGCGACCATTTTCGGAAGGATCAAGGTTGTTTGAACTGAATGTTATCTTCATGTCTGTATTTATGCGAGCAAAATCGGTGGGTCTCAACGGCTCAAACTTGTGGGAGGGCTCGGAGGAAAATTCCAGCTTTGGTTTTGTGTAAAACCACGAAGCCGCCGTGCTTCGCATGCACCGTCGTCCATCAATAGCCAAGAGACGACGAGAGAGCCAAGTAGATAGAAGAACAACTACGAACTGAGTCTATCTATCTTTTGTCTGTCTTGTTGTTGCTGTTGTTGTAGTTGTGGCTGGTTGGTGAATGAGAGCAGCAACGGCTTACGACGACGACGACGACAAGTGTATAAGCAAGCAGCAGGACTTGGTGGTGGTTGCGTTGCTGTTTCATCGTTGTGTGTGGTGGCGGTGGTGAAGATTGTAGAAGTGTAGAAGTAGCAAGTTAGTTGTCATTGACGGACTGGACCGACTGCCAAAGGGCCAAGCCAACACGACAATTCATACAGTACTGTAGTGGAGTTCTCTCTTGGGTCTTGTGCTGTTGGTGGAGCTCCCAGGAGAATCGAATCTATCTATCTGTCGAAAACAAGCTATTCCCACAAATCACATCAAACCTACAACTGCAGTACAAGCACCAATCAACTCAATCAACACTAGCTCAGCTCAGTTTCATCCACCAGTCAAGTGAATCGAATCAATCTGCAGTTGGCTTATTCTGTCTCTCTCCTCAATCAATTCAACCTCAAGAATCCTTCTCCATTCGACATTCGAACTTTTTATCAACCAATCTACTGAATCTACTGTACATCATCTATCGGTTCACCATGGGCAACACATCCTCTCTAACGTCTGCCTTTCAAACGGGCACAACTAGCAAAGGAGCCGGCTGTGTCTCTTCTGGCTCCTCTGGCAAAAAGAGTAAAGGCAGCAAGACCAGTGCCGCACAAGCTGCCGAATCTGCCACGGAACGAGCCAAAAAAGTCTTTGGAGATGTCCACGAAAGCCTCAAAATCAGTGTCAAGAAGCTAGAAGAACAGGATCATCCCGCCGCACACTTGATTGACACGGTCTGTGGACCCTACTTTGACACTCAAGGAGGAAGCAATCATCGACACAATCGAAAAATGAGAGAAAACCGATCCGCTTCCTTTTACAGTGAAGACTACAACTCGGATGATTCCAGAACCATTTCAGAAGATGAACAAACACTCGACACGGATTACAATGCTTCCACTGTCAATGGATCCACCGTAGCCAGTTCCACGGCACCCAACAAGAAAACAAAGGAAATACACACCGATTCCTCCTATCTATCCCAATCCGACTATGAGTCCAGTGAAGTTGGACGCAGCAGTCGCCATCGCAGTAGTAAAAGCAAACGAAGACGGAACAAGGAAGACGATCCTTCCTCAACGACAGGACAATCGGAAGATGACGATTCCAAAACTATGGATACCAGTATTAGTATGGGACAAGGACCCCAACAGTTACTCTCCAAGCCACTCGCCAGTAGTTTTGCCAAACGATGTTACTTTACCAAGGCGGGCATTGGCAAGAACACTCAACATTACGAAGGATTGACGCTCACGGGGAATGTCGTACTCATGCTGGCGGCTGCCATGAAACTCAAGGGATGTCCCACCATTTGCGATGAAGACTTGAGGAGGGTCGAACAGACGTATCCCAACCAATTCAGTCGATTGCCCGATGAGTTATTGCTCTCGAGTGGATGGAGACGCATCTCCAAGTATTGTCACTTTTCCAACAAACCAGTTCCAGATGGGATTCCGTTCTTTCGTGAGTATTGATTGATTTATGAATTTGATGTATACAGTGTGTGATTTGCTGCATTGAATGAATTGTCTCAACTGACTTGATGATCTGTGCATTTGCTTGCATGCATTCCAGACTCCAAACAACGAATCCATCCACAAGGAGGCTACTATTTTCTTCTGGCGGCGGCTGTTGGAATGGTACGACCCATTGATGTCGAACCATTGACACGCGACACTCTGGTCCTGCTCGAAACCGATTATCCTACACAATGCGATGCCGCTCCGGAAGTACTCATTCAAGATCCCGAGGAATGGACGTTGGTGGACAAATTCTGCTTCTTTTCCGGTGGACCCATCAATACCGAAGAAGATGTCTTTTATCAAGCCGATTTTGATGGAAATCCCATTTACATGCTCGCATTCTTGTCGCCCAGTTTGACACCCGAAGAACTATACAAGCTGGAAGCAGAGTCGGAAGATGCCGAAGGCAACCCAATCCCTGGATTGACCAGTGTGGTGGCAGTACAAGATGTCGAATCCGTGTACGATTTGACCGAGCGAGATTTCCATGACTTGAAATTGTATCACTTGGGTCCTTGTCGGGCATTGCCACAATACATTCTGCAGCCTCAAGCATGGACCAAGGTACTACCTCCACACTTTTTGGAAGCTCGTCATCGTGCTGTTCTACTGGCACAAGAGTACGAAATGGCAAACGGTGGACCAGTCACGCCAGTGGCAAGAGATCCCATGGCACCACCGGCACAACAGTTGATGGTCGGGGCGACGCCATTGGATCGATATGATCAGCACCAGCCACCTCCGCCGCCGCAACAACCGCCGTATACTATGCATGGAGCGGACCCCAACCAGAATCCTCCTTATGATGAGCACGCAGCGGTGGGTGTACCGCCACCGCCGCATCACCCACATCATCATCCGTACAGTACAAATCCACATCACAATCCTCCTCCGCCGCCACCACACACTCCAGGCGGTCCGGAGGATGCTGGATATTTCATGTCACCGAGGCCACCTGTTGGGCCACCAGACCATCATCATTATGCAGGCGGACCACAACCGTCGCCGCAACCAGGATTTTCCTCTGAGTACGACATGGCGGCGGCGCAACACAATTCGGCGTCCATGGCCGACCCTCACATGTCACCCTACCCGCATCATCTTCACCACCCTCACCACGGAGGAACGCCGCCCCCTCATCCTCATCAATCACCCTATCCCGATTCACAACAAAATGGTCATCACTACCAGCAGCCGCCATCACCGCAACAACCGCCATATCATCAAAACTCTCCATCGCATTACTCACAAGGGTCTCCTCAGACACCCATTGACCCCGTACAGCAGTATCAGGCTCATCAACAAGAGGACGAGCAAAGTCACCATTCGCCCACTGTGACATTGGAACCAGATGATGACACGCAGATGGCGCCGTAAGTGTTATTTGTTTTGTTCTCGTAGTTGTTCGCTTACCTTACCAAGCTGATGCCGGTATCTAATTTCTATTGTGACTTTGCTTTTTGCAACAACAGAATGGATGAAGCAATGGACACGCCACGAAAGGCAGGTCCCCCAGGATCTAACCTTCATCATCAGGGAATGGATCCACCCGAGCACTTGCCGCAGGAACCGGAGCCAGACGATAGCGTGGCAGTGAGCGAGGGAACGAGTCAGAATCCCAACTCGGCGAGTTATTATTCTCATCCAGATGCCCTGGAAGACTCGAACGCCGAGAGCCAGTATTCTCCAGAAGCTCGCAGTCCTTCTCGCCATGATGCACCTTCTTTTGGTTCGCCCGACTATAGTATTCCAGCTTCTCCTCCAGACTATGGTACTCCAGCTTCTCCTAATGACTATGCTGGCACACCTGTGAGTCCTCCCAATGAATATGATGACACACCTGTGAGTCCTCCCAACGAGTATGGAACGCCTGGCACACCAGTGGATGCCGCTCCACAGTACTCTTATTCGGTCTCACCCGGAAAGGAAGAGGATGAGTACTATCAAGATCATCACCCAGAACAATCGAGAGATGATCAATACTATGATACACCAGAGGTAATGACTCCTGATGGCCTCAAAGAGCAACCTGGCAGTCAAGATCACGAATTTTTCAATGCTCCTTCGGTTGGAGAAGAGGAAGATGATTACGAACCAGCATCCTCGTCCTTTGATCCTTCGGGGCACATTGGGCGCCATCCCGACGATTATCCACCAGATGACTACCAGCATGCCAATCCCGGTAGCCCAGGATACTACGACGACGAAGAAGGCCATTCGAGGCTTGAGGTTCAGGAATCTTCCAGTGCCGAGTACTTTCGCGGACACGAAGATGACAGTCCCTCGCCGATCAAGATTGATCACCTGCGTCGCTTGGGTCGCAAGAAGGGTGGCGCCCCTCACAATGGCAATGTCAGCGTGACAAGTCCATCGAGTCAAGCCAGCAGTCAAAACTCCGTCAGTGAATATTCTCATTCCTCTGCCATGAGAGGTGCTCAAGAGCTGTTGAAAAGAAATCGTCAAAGGAGACATGAACAGTAAGTATATTGCCTTACTGGATTGAAGTGTGGGTGTGACTTGTACAAACTAATTCCTTTGGTTTTGCTCAGAGCTCGAAGGCGGCTGAATGCCAGCAATAACGAAATTCGTACAAACAACTCGGTCGAAACAGAAGGAAGTCCTGCCAAGTCCCCACCCCACTATGCGTTTTCGCCGGATAATGGATATCATAGAAACCATAGTGGAAACCGCGGCGGTCCACGTGGAGACGACGGTAGCGCGTCAACGTGGGAGTCTGGCAATTCCGAGGCTTTGACTTCGGTGATTTCCGGGTCCTCTGTTTGGACTGACAACTCTTCCAATCCAGCCGATCGGAGCTCACGGCGTGCTCTAATTCTTCAAATGGCCAAGGCCAGAATGAAGAGCAACAAGGACCGTGATCCAGCCGAGAAGACCATCAAGGAAGAAAAGTCGAATTCCCTCGACGATCATGACGACTACGATGATCACAGCGACATGCGGCATCCAGGGTTAACTGATGCACCAACTTCTTCCGCCACAGATCTGGACATTGCTGCGGACCTGGATTAGGTGTGAAGCGAATGAATGGCTGGTCAGACATGGCAAAGGTGCTTGTGGCTACGTTTGTGTGAAGAATCAGGCGCAACAAAACGTTGTTGCTGCCTTGGACCCTAGACTGCTGTTATTTGGAAGAGTATGTTATTTCTGTAAACTTTAGACTGCACACTGTAGTTATTCCATTGCTTTTCAAAGGAACCGTTGTTGGGTTGGGGTTCATATAGCATTCCGGTTGCTGTACATGCTAGCTAGAATTGGGTCTCAAAAAATCGCTTGCCGTCCTTGGTTGCTTGCTTTCTGCGCCTGGGAAAGAGGCTTGTAGCTCATGGAGTAAATCCGCCCGAGCCACTCGGCTGTGGTTGGTTAGTTGGCCAGGTGTCAGTCCGCACAGGTGTCTTTCGCTTCATCCGTCACTCGCGGACTGACTTTTGGCGCAGTGGCTTTGCCATCAATAATTTATTTCCCTACTCTAAAAACCCCGTTATATTCCAGAGAACAAGAGAAGCTTGCTTTCAGCCCAGGACTTTCCTTCAGGATGGAGAGAAGCGTGGCCGATGCCGCCCACCGCTCAACTGGCGGTGGTACATGTACGTCAACAACTGGTTTTGGTGCAAATGCATGTATGTCCAATCAAAAACCCAGCCTTTCACTAGTGGGTTCTTTTGTTCTTTTTTAATGATAGTTAAATCTATCTGGCTAGCTCTCTCTAGCTAGACGTCTAGCTAGTATCACCAGATTAACTTAAAAATTACAGAGGCCCCGAGGGGATTACGTTGCATCTACTAGTAAGAGTAGATTTGGCTAGCTACCAATCTAGCTCCCAGCCACGTGTTGTTGCTTGATTTGCTATGGTTGTTGCCTGGGTGGTGTTGTAGACCTACAATGATACATTCTTTGTCGCAGTTAGAATTAACATTAGCAGTACTGCTTGTCATGAGGTCGCTAGCTAGCATGTCAAAAATGGTTATGAATGTGCAAATGTTGGGCAGCAGCAGCAACAGCAACTTTTGGCCAGTGCCCAGCTGTGGCTTTCGTGCATGTTGGCAAGCCAGGAAGCAATGGCAAGCACTCGTCAGGAGGGTCGAGTCCGTCAAAGTTCACTTGCTCGTTTGCCTGCCTCATGCAACTGGCGCGTGTGCGGATCCCTTATCATCAGCATCGTCACCGTCGGACGTTAGAACAATTGCTGAAGCAATCCCCAACTGCATCAGACCGTCCAGTAACCTCATCACAGAGACATAGTCACCCATCCTGTGAAAGTGCGAGGCTAGTCTGCGCACCACATGGGTAATGGCTTCACTGCAGTTGAATTGCCTTGCTTGATGGATCATGCCCAACAGTTGCAAGGATCGCTCCAAGAGACGACGAGCCTTGTCAGATACCTTGTAGGCGACAGCAAGGTCGCTGCAGCTGCTGGCTTTGCGCTCCAATGCAATGGCACAGTTGAAGATCAGAGCCGCACTGTAGAGAGACAGGTGGTCAGTGGAAGGATGGATCACACCATGATGTGATTCCACTGAGGAGATCTCAAAGAATACATCCTTGTCCGTGGCTTTCACCACAATGCTGGTGTTGGCACTTGCCGTCGTGCCTCCGAATTTGGCAGGTGGGGAAATGACAGGAGCTTCCTCTGAAGCAGCAACGGTGGCTAGCAGAGCCAATCCAGACTTGAAGCACCTGAGCGCCTCATTGGGTTGGCCAGATGTAACCAGGTGAATGCCTTGCTCATTGAGCGCAGTGGCTTGACGTAAAGGTTCCATGGTGACTTGAACTCAGTTGTGGCGAAAGAAGAGGTACATGTACCGGTAGAATCTTTGTTTTGTTTGAATTGTGAGGAGCAAAGAAAATAAGAAAATAAATAGAACGGAGGGTTCGGATCAGTGGCTTCCGTACGGTACCTACGTTGTGCCTTGTGATACCAGCACCGTGAATGAGTCAGTGTTCAATGCGAAGACTATGCGAAGCCAGCTGGGCGGAGCTTGTGTGCAATATTCCAGCTATGCCACGGTACTGTACCAAGCAATTCTTGGGTAGCCGTTGACCATCCAAACAAAGGATCGTACAGGAAGGTTCCGACTGAGCGTAGAATTTATGGTTTTTGTCAATGACGACCAAACTGCTCTCCCCAGTTCCACCATCACAGTCCGACTGTAAAGCATTCTGTACTTAGTCCCGGTTTTCTATCAAAAGAATTCTGCTGACAGAATCCCTCCTATAAGAAGCCCTTTTCGAAGGAAGAAGAAAAGAGAGAAGAAGAGCACTAAAAGAGCTACTAAAAGCAATTTTGAGGATCGCATTCAATTCAATGAGGTCGGTTTTGTCAGCTGTTTCGTTCAAATGATGAGCCATTCAGATTTAAAAGAAAAGAATCTCCCAGTGTCGTCGGACTCTACTGGTACTACCGTAAACCGTAAAGGGTGCACAAGGCACAAGGGCTCCATGCTTACCGTACTGCGTACCGGGCGTACCACTAGCTACTGCGTACAGTACTGACTCGGAGTCCCGAAAAAAATATGATGCCACTACCGGTACTAGTCTAGTACATTGTAGTAGACTATTTAAAATAATAAAATAATACCAAGTAAAAGAGGACCGCTGGTTTTGTGGCACGTCGCACATGAAGTTCGCTGACGTCGGAGGCAAGTCCACATGAGTATCCAATTCCAGTTTTAAGGGATAGTTTACGTATATATATATCTTTAGTATCTATCTTATTTTCCAGTTTCCCTTAGGCTTGGGGTCGGCATCATGGTATTATGTCTCATCGATTCGTATTATACTCCTAGGAACGCCTCCAAAGCCACCTCAACGAATCGACCATTCTTCCTTCTTCTCAGTGAAGTAAGTACAGTACTCTAAAAGAAGAATCCATGACCACTGTAAATCGGATCTGTTCTGAGGAGGCTTCAGAGCTCAGAGCTGATGCGGCCAGCTGTCCATGACTTTGTTGATTGTTGGCAATTGAAGATGATCTGATCATCAGAGTGCACCAAGTCGAAAGTTGGCAATAGGTTGGTGCTACAAGAAGGAAAGGATCTGTTACTAGAAGTCTATAGAATCATCTGATTCTATAGAATGGAAAAAAAATCTGTAGAATGGTCTGATTCTATAGAATACTTGAGAGAGGTATACTAGAATTCTATAGAATCAGATCAATCTATAGAATCAAAGTATGTGAGAATCTGTAGAAATCTTATTCTATAGAATCACACATCATATTCTATAGAATCACACATCATATTCTATAGAATCAATTAAATTTTCTCTTGATTCTATAGAATCATCTTCAATTTTTCTGATTCTATAGAATGAAACATGAAAATCTGTAGAATGTTGTTGCTCTGTGATACTACCGGTAGTACTGTTGTTGCCATTGGACGACATTGAGGCTGGTGATAGGGCATGCATCAATCCACAGACTTGACTCTCCTCTCTCCTTGTTATCCAGATCGATCGATCGTGGACAATGGTTGATGGTTGATTGTTGCTCTTCAAATTCCACCAACTTGAATGTCAGTGGCCAAGAACTGACTGCCATCCCATGGTCCATAGAATTCAATGAGGGATGGCTTTCAGTTCTGCACCGGAGACGGTCGGCTTGAGTGAGGCTTGATAGAAGAGGTGCAACGATCCCATTCGAATAATTCAAGAACAACTCGCCGAGATCTGACTGCCTTCCCTCAGTCCATAGAAATAAATGAGGGATGGCTTTTGAATCTGCACTATTGTCGGTCAAGCTCCATATTCAGTCAATGAAGGAGAGAAGACTGATGAGGTTGTCAATTCTATGAGAAGTCAGTGCTTTGCCTTCAATAATACACTTGATAATAGACTTACCTTATTGCAATACGACTGTAGTAGCAGTAGCAGTAGTAGTACATGTAGCAGTAGCAGTAGTAGCGATGGATTGATCCACTATCAACTGACGAGGCTGTGGCACAACGCCATGTGTTGCTGCTGTTGTTGTTTGTTGCTCTTGCTGGTGCCACTGTGGAAGGGTGCTGTGACCTTTCTGTGCCCTTCCCATTCTATAGAATGAAAACCGCTGATTCTATAGAATGGTCTCTGATTCTATAGAATGGCAAATTCCATAGACTTCTAGCATCAGATCCAAACATGGAATGCATTGCCTCGTCCAATTGGCTGGTCTTGGATTGAGGCAAAACTGCTTTTGTTCTATTGGGAAGAAGATCTAGTGATACTGTACTAGTTGGCGTTGCCACATGGAGATGTTTCCTAGCTAGTAGCCAGACTAATAGCTCTACTATGTAGAAGCCTTAGCTTCAACGAAGACTGCTCGAGGGCAACCTAACTAAGGATCTCTGACGAAGCAAAGGTGGTTGCGAAAGAATGCTGCCGGTTACCGGTAGTAGTTTTTTTGTCTGCTCGTCTGAATGGCTCTGGAACAGGCAGAAGACACGCAGACACCCAGCGCTGCACCCTTCTTCTTTAAAAAAACAAAAGAAGCCACGAAGACTTTTTAAAGAGCTCTCCCATGACGCAGAAGCACTTAAACTTTCGGTTGCACAGTGCAGAGAGCTCTCCAGCTCAGGCAGCCAGCGGCATGCTTCCATTGAGATCCCCGAGTCAAGTATTATGGCCCAAATACTGAACTTTGGCGATGTGGCAATTACAATCGAGTAGAACTGAAGCTATGGGCTTCGAAGAAGAATGGGTGCTCCTCTCCTGCTGGCATCTGGATGGTTGTTGCGTCGTTTTACCGTAGTGTCGCTCGGTACATCGTAAGCTCGTGAGCTAATGATTGAAGATTGAAGACAACCTAGCCACTAGAACTTCGTTATCGTGCTTCTTCAGTGGCTGGTTGGCAACCGAGGGTTCCACCGAGAATCCATGCCGCTTTCAGATGGTACTAGCAGGCAGAAGCTTTATGTACTACTGTCGGAAGCAGCCAATAACGTAGAAACCGACGACCTTCATGCACAACAGGCAGCCAGCCAAACTCTCAGCCAACTACAAGCGGCTTGTTGGAAAAGTTATCTGACCGTCCGGCCCTCGAAGTTTCGCTGAAGGACTGGGGCATGCATGCAGCCCAGACCCGAGAACGACCTCATGCGGGCCCAAGGACGACCACTCCATAGTTCATCGATGCAAATCCTGATCTTCATCTCACGCGACGGCTTACGACTAATTCGAAGTAGGCACAGCCAGATCGGTCGAAGTCATGAAGCCATAGCAGCTGCCCCTCTACAACATGTTAGTAAGTCTATGTGCCTTCCCAATGAAACTTCCCCGCGGTTGCCCGGACCTCGACAGCATCACGACTCGTCACTCATGAATTTGTCAACATACATCAATAGCAATGCAAAGCTTCTCATGCTTCTTGGTTCACCAGGATTGCTGTTGCGGACCCACCTGAGCTTTCGTCACTATCACGCTCAAGAACGACGAGATCACCCACTCCGGGAATATGCACCGGCACTACCGATTTGGCCATCCCCTGCTCGTTTACGAAAACGTAAGCTTCTTGCATGACCCCAAAGTCGCCCCGACCATGCCAAAGTACAGCAGAGGTATCTGTGATGGTGGAGTATCCGTTGCCGAAGAAGCAGCAAGTCCCATCATGCAAGGTGTCCGTAATTCGAAGCCGATAGAGTGAACTCGCGTTCGTCTGCTGTGTGTAGGAAGTGATCTCCTGGTCCAGTAAGGAGGCGCCAGTACTACTGCTGCGAACGTCGACTGTTTCCCAAGCATCAATGGCGAGGACGCTGCCGTCAAGAGAAAGCTCCTGCCATTGAACCGTCGTTTCCTCGGGGTAAAGATCATATCGAACATTGATAACAAGCTCGGAATCAGTGCGGGCATAAGCGCCAGGAAAGTTGGGATCGTCTGTTTCTGGATTGAAGGGCCAGCCGTTGTCCACAATTTCGGGCTCTTCGCTTTCACTGCCCCTAGAGGTG